TGTGAGAAAACAATACAATAAACAACTTCCCCAAAAAAAAATAATTTAAACATATCAGTGCGGTTTTAATTTTAAAGACAACGTTGAATATCTACAGGGTGAGTCATGAGGAACTTTACATTACTTCTACCATATGTAGAGTCCTCAGGGGAGCATATAATGTGGCCACTAAAAATGTCAATCTTCTTTATTAATTAACAGGGTGATTTGTGTAATTGACCATTTATTTCATTTTACTGTAGTGTTTATACGGCTCATTTGATTTTTTTAATTTTTGCATGATACAGTACACTACTATCAAGCATTCGACTGGTATTAGCTAAACTAAAAAATTCCAGGACTGGCTTTGGAAAAATTAATTTAGGGATTCGTATTAAATATTACACCCTGTATATATTTTTTTAAAATGCAATAAGTGATTTTCAAACTACATAAATAGCCAATGAAAACGACATATGCGACAATGTTGTCGCACTTTTATTAAATTTTTAGTGAACGATCAAATCTTACCAAAAATAGAACAACCATAATGAAGTATCAAATTATAAGGTATTATATTGAAACAAATGTTATATATTTCAAACATTTTAATTAAAATGAGTTCCTACAACATAATCTAATACGTAGAAAATTAACATCTTTACTGTCACTTTGTATTATCTCTACGATAGAATCAATTGTTTTTCAATTTTAAATTTTTACTCATAGATCGTATTGGGGCATTATTTTCGATAAATAATAAATTAAATTGATTAAAAAGTCAAACCTCTTGTATGTGTTAGTTTTTGTTGAATGTAAATGATTAAAATTTTATGTCAAATAATAATACATTGCATCAACTGTGCTAAATAAAAATAAATCTAAAAAGTTTAAAATGAAGGTTGGCGTTGACCGTTTGACGTTTCTTGATATTTTATAACCATTGTCATTATTGTCATTATCAATTGTTATTTATGTGTACAAGAATACATATTTCTTCTGTCATATCTACGTTAAGTACATTGTGTTAGTTTTGGTAGAGCTTTTGTTACTTTCGTTCAAAATGCCACATCAGTTTTCGACACAGAATATGCAGACATAATATTTGTTTATGGATTCTGTGGAATGTAGGGCTGCTAGTAGAGAATATCGCAGGAGATTTCCTAATCGTCGAACTCCCAGTCATCCAACATTTGGGCCAGTTTTTAATTATTTGCGAGCAAATGGCTTTTTTCCTAGTGGAACAACAGAGCGACATGTAGATGAAGCGCAGGAAGATGGCATTATGGACGCCGTTACTATGAACCCTTCAATAAGCACTAGACAAGTAAGTCGAGAACTCAATGTTACTCAATCAAAAGTATGTAGAGTCTTACAAAAAAATAATCTATACCCATATCACATTAAATGGTTTCAGCGACTACATGCTAGAGATGAGATCGATAGGTTGGAATTTTGTAGATGGATTAACAATAATTGACCAACGCTATACAGGAAACTATTTACAGATGAAGCCCAATTTACCAGAGACGGGATAAATAATTCACGAAATTCACATGTGTGGGCAGAAGAAAATCCCCATGCTATTCGAGAACGTCGTTCTCAGTTAAAGTTTTCGCGACCAACGCGAACGTTGCTATCCGAGGGATGTATTTTCAGCATGATGGGACACCCCCACACTTTTTACTGGCAGTGAGACAACATCTCAATAATGTTTATGGCAACACGTGGATAGGACGTGCAGGTCCTATTTCGTGGCTTTCAAGATCCCCTGATTTCAATCCCGTTGATTACCATATTTATGGACGATTGAAGCAACTAGTTTACGCAGTGAATATTAATAACCAACAGCAATTAATTGATAGAATTATACATTGTTGTAATACTATTAGAAACGATCCCCAGAGTATCGTAATTCAATACGTCAATTAACAATTCGGCAACAAAAATGTGTACAGACTGCAGGGTTCCATTTCGAAATCTATTTTGAATTATTTTTATTTTGTTACCATTATTGTATCTTTTCCAGTTCTAATTTATGGGTTTATCATAACTATGTACATATTTTTAGTTTTTTTTTTTAATTGTTCTTCGTTATTGTTAGTAGTTATTGTTTTTGTTGTGCAGTGACTCAGTTTATCATTTCAATTAAAATGTTTGAAATTTATAACATTTGTTTAAATTAATACCTTATAATTTGATACTTCATTATGGTTGTTCTATTTTTGGTAAGATTTGATCGTTCACTAAAAATTTAATAAAAGTGCGACAACATTGTCGCATATGTCGTTTTCATTGGCTATTTATGTAGTTTGAAAATCACTTATTGCATTTTAAATAAAATATATACAGGGTGTAATATTTAATACGAATCCTTAAATTAATTTTTCCAAAGCCAGTCCTGGAATTTTTTAGTTTAGCTAATACCAGTCGAATGCTTGATAGTGTATGTGTACTGTATCATGCAGAAATTTAAAAAAATCAAATGAGCCGTATAAACACTACAGTAAAATGAAATAAATGGTCAATTACACAAATACCCTGTTAATTAATAAAGAAGAGGAGTTGACATTTTTTAGTGGCCACATGATATGCTCCCTGAGGGACTCTACATATGGTAGAAGTATGTAAAGTTCCTCATGACTCACCCTGTATATATAAACTATTCAATGTTCTAAAAAAATTAAAGGCATATAAATAGTGACAATTTCAAAGAGCAAAAAAATTGCAAAACTGCTATATAAAAATTAGACTGACTACTTGCGCCATCTATACGTTCGGTTTGTGTTTATTTACTTTTCTCCACTAAAGCCAACGTTAAAAGCTTCGATCCAAAAATATTGTAGGTGATTTCCCGTGGTTTTAAACAGCGATGTAGGTTTATTATATTACAAAAATAATTTTTTTATTTAAACTCTTGCTCCAGTCTTAACCACTACGCGCTTTTCACTAGATAAATAATTTATTCTGTATTTATTATATGGGATGCATAGTAAAACTTACAATGTTTTTATTTACGTGATCACGACCAAGTTCAAAATTGACAGAAAGAATTATAGACTGCTCAATATAAGAATAATAATAAAAAAGGATTCCACATAAAATAGGTTTCGCATACATTAGATGTCCTGTGATATTTCTATTGAACTATAACCTTCTACAGAGAGGCAAATTTGGTTATAACGAGAAAAATAAGAAGAAAAACGTGTTTTTTACGTTTTTGGCCTGGCCGTGGCTATAAATAAAAAACGCAAGATTTTCAAAGCAGGTTCGTCTTTTTCCGGTAAATCGAAAAAAACTACGTGCCGTAACTAATAAAGAACTCGATACTGCAATATTCAAATGATTTACCGTAAACAGGGCTGCGGATGTTCCAACAAGTTGACCACTGCTTCAAGAAAAAGCAACGCAGTTTTCGCCGGCGCTAGGGGGTGATGAGAATTTTAAGCATTCATGAGCAAGATGAGCCGTTTAAAGGCTGGACACAAAATTACGTGTGGAAAAATTTTCGATGAAGCGAAGAATGTTTTCAATGCCGGCAAGCTGGGACCTTTTTAAACTTACTCCATAGAAGACCCTCAAATTCAAAAATGAACGTCGTATAGGTGGCAAATTATCAAAAGAAAGGGTAACTGCACTCGCGTGTGCCTGATTCCGAAAAAAAGAAGTTAGTCGTCATTGGGAAATCTCAAAAACTACGATGTTTCAGAGGTGTGAATCAGCTTCCTATCACATATAAATTTAATAAAAAAATCGTGGATGGCAGCAGAGATTTTTAATGGAGAACTTTTGAAGTGGAACAGAGAGTTGGGACATCAATAGATTCTTTTTAATTGTTGACAATTGTACAGTCCATCCGAAAGTTAACTGTTTAAAAAACATTCAACTTCTTTTTTACTCCCAAATTGCACATCTGTCCTGCAACCGATGGATCAAGGCATCATAAGATCCCTTAAAGTTCACTACAGAAAATTTTGGTTGGGCGGATCCTTAATAATGTGGAAAACCGTAGTGAATCCCCTGTTACTTTATTAGATACGATAAATTTCATCCACAAAGCATGGACTTCTTCTTCTTCACGTGCCATCTCCGCTACGAAGGTTGGCTATCATCATGGCAATTTTGACCCTGGAGCCTGGTGTCCATGCTGAAAGCATGGACACTCGTAGATAAAAAAAAAACATCAGAAAATGTTTCGGTCATGCGAGGTGGATAGAGACTGAGGTAGAAAACGAAGATCAATATCCTGTAGCAGAGTGGTTAAGGTTACAACAGCAAGGTCAAGAACTAACCCAATTGAACAAGATGACGAGGTTCCTGAATTCATTGCCATTGATGATGACATCATTGTTTGTGATCTTCCGACGGATAGTAAAATTACCACGGAAGTAATAAATCCGCCGGCGGCGCGCGTTATCGTCAGTGACGAAAGTGTTGAAGATGGAGAAGACAATAGTGGTGAATCTATGCCAGAAGGTCCTAATAGACAAGATGTGGAAAGTGCTTTAAACGTTTTAAGAAACTTTATCCAAAGATAAAACGCAAATGAAGAAGCATACAACTGTTTTACAAACTTAAACAACTTTATATTGCTGAACAGAGGAATAAAATCCCTTTCTAACAAGGTACCATACGACCCCCTTTGTTATTTATAATTTTCGAGGGGGTGCTTATCATTCAAAGGGAGTGCTGGAGGGGTATATTATTTTTATACTGTAAATTATCAATTTAAGAATAAAAATCAACCTTAATGGTCTATGTTAATCAACTTAAAAAGAATTTATTCTATACATATGGACCGCATGGTATATAATTGTCATATCAGCAGCTCATCGGACTGCCAGTGTTTCGAGTTAATTCGAGCCTCTTCAACCATAAAATTTTCAAACGTTGTAGTATAATTCGAAATCAGGAGTGCAGTTTAGTGCTTGATATCAGACATATCAAACATATCTGAGGTGAAAAAATAATATTTTTGATTATTATAAAAAACTATATATTTAACAGTATTTTTACACATACCAAGATCATTAAAAATTTAGATCTGATTATGAAAATAAAAGAAAACTACGAATTTTACCTATATAATTTGTCTGTCGTGCCACAAATACATTTTTCATATAATTGTGATGTACAGCAATTTAAGGAAGTAAAAACTACCTGCCAGTAAAACCGCGCCATATTGACGCAATACTAGCGGCCGCGCTGTTTACTAAACCACCTGCCATGCTACTCGCCTGCTGGGTGCTGATCATTTGTGGAGATTGGCTGATCGCTGGACCAGCAGATATTTCTGGACACTGCACGTGAGGTACCTATAATCAACAACAAAATATCAATAATATGAAGGAATTATTGATTACAAATCTTTTTAATTTCGAAGCTACAAAAACGTATGTTACTTTTGGCAACACAGTTTAATCGATACTATAATACACCAATACAGGATTTCCTAGTCATTAAAGTAGTTGAATGTCAAAACATTTTGCTAATATTCAATTTATTTTACTTACAGCCTCCCATTCGACTGGGAAAGAATCCCCTTCCTCCGAATCAGAGTCTTCGCTAGTTTTGAGATCATTTACCAAATCTTGTTCCAAAGCAAGTGCCTGTTGAACGTCATATTCGACAGGACCAACCCTAAAACAGTTAAAAATTTATTTTAACACTACGCATTTTTTATTTCGATCCGTCTAAAAATAATACGACAGTTCACAGAACTATAGTAACTTCTGTATACAACTTACCTTCCTAAATCCGTATTTGGATCCTCAATTAATTGTAAAATATTGTGAATAGTTTTGGCAGAATTCAGGCTACTTAAATCTACATGCTGAAGCAAACATAAATATAGAATATTGGCGTTCAATCTAGCGGTTCTTCTTGCGAATTGCTCGTCTTTCATATAACTACTACAAAAATCACTAAAAACAAAAATAGAACCTTATTAAAATAGTGAAAACAAAAATGTTTACTTTGACAAAGTAGGCTGTCCAAAAACTTGGAATCACTTTTTATATGACTATAGTATGGTGAAATATAGTGAAAAAACTATACAAATTAAAGATCCAAACTTATAAATACACTGGAGAGAGAATCACTGATGCCGACCATAATATAGCCTCGCCTATTTTAAAAATTTTAAACTGTTTTTCATTTATTTGATTATCTGTGGATGGTGGAGAACAAGGTCTATCATCGCCAGAAAGAGTTTTTATGTATTCTTTCCATCTCTCTAGTTTGTCTTCAGTACCATAATTATTTAGTTATTATCATTTTTTAATATTTTTGCTCGTCTCTTTTTGTGTCTAGCTGTCATTTCTTTTACTTTTTTATGAATATTAAAGGTGTCATATTTTTCCTGAAGTTGTTCGATTTCTAGGCATTTTGTTGACATCCAGTTTTCTTTCGCCTCTCTGCACTTTTTTACTAATGATTTTATTGATTCTCTTGTATTCTATTGGGCTTGTTTTATGTTTTTGTCTACGTCCATGAGGTCCATGATCTCTTGCGTTATACATTCTTGTTTTTTGTTGTTTTTGAACGATGTCTTTTTGTATCTTTGTTATTTTTGTTTTTAGAGCAGTCCATGTTACTTCAATGTCTGTCTGTACCAAGTTTTCGATCCTTTTTATTTCTTCCTCAAGCATGATACTTATTTCTTTTTTCTGTTCAGGGTTCATCAGTAGTGAGATGTATATTTTTCTTGTCACTGTTTTCTTTTTGACTTTGAGAAATCTTTTTAATCTAAAATCCACTATAACTGGATTGTCATCGATATGTAAATCAGCTCCAGGGTATGACTTCATAGATTGTATGTACTTCATTTCCCATTACCATTTTCTTTTTCTCGTCTGCCATTTAGATTTGTGGAAAATATAATAGGGTAGTTTTCCCGTTGCCTTCCCCATCGCAGTACCACACCACAACTACTTTCCACCAGGATCGTAGAAAAGTGTCTACCCGCTACCCGTAACATACCATATAAAACACTCATGATTTTTTATTAAATACATAACTTACCTATATTGCATCCTACATGGAAGCCTGGTATTCAGATAATAAGATAAAACGCTTAGTAACTGTGCAGTATAAGTTAGTGCAGCACTAATACTAAAAGCTGGATTCGGCTCAACAGAACTGACGCTATTCGAACCAGGTACACCATCTTGATTTTGAGCAACTAAAACAAGAAAGCAATAAGCAAGAATCGCAAAGAATACATCCCAATGTGTGCCACGAAACTAACCCCAAATGTTATATGCAGAATAGTTGCCTGATCCTGGCAATGTGGGTCCCACGATACAATATCGCATTTCACCTAAATAATCTGAATATTCCCATCTGTCACTAATAAATGTCGTTTGGGATGCTTCAGCGAGGGCATTCACCATGTCGTCTGTAGAGAGCTCTATTTCTCTAAAACATAATAAATAAACATAAAACATATAAATATGAAATAAAAGATATAGGAAACTTTAACAGAGAGAAGGAATTCAGAACATTAAGTTAACATCTACAGAAAAAATTCAAAGCAACTACAAACCAATTCAGAAGTCTGAATGGCGAACTATCAACAACAAGAGAGAATGAAACTCTCTCTCCTGTTGCTGACAAAGAATGTAGAGCGTAGAACCATTTTAATTAATTTTAAACTGTTTGTCCTTGTTTTAGTGTAGTGTTTTGTACAATTTTATGTCAAAATTCATGTTTATCACATTCTACGCTTGCTGTATAGCCCAAATTTGACGAAATGGATGACTTCCATTGTATTCAATGAGTTGAGACCAGCTGATCTCTCACGATATGACTCCATTCGTTTGGTGTCTGATGATTGCGCTGGACAAAATAATATAAATATTTTAACTATTATTGTTCTGAAGCTATTTTAACTAAGTGACAAAATTGTAATTGTGACAAAAGAGGAATATCATGGACATTTTTAAGAAATATGGTTATTATTAAATATGGTTACGATTAAGTTGATGGAAGGGATTGGGTACCGTTGGACTGGAAACAAGAAGCGAAAAGTTTTATGAAAACAGTGACTCAACTAATGCAACTTAAGTAACAGATTTTAAAATTGGAATTTTCATTTAAAATAACTGATTCCCTATATGAATGTTATAAGTATTAAATTTTAAGTAAGGTCCAAACCGAGGGTACATTCTTTCAAATACAATTTTTTTGGCATCAAAAAACGGACACCTACCATCACATTTGGATCAAACATAGACATAGACATTTTTGTTCCAAAAGCAGACATCTGTATTTTCAAATAATAATTTTATAATAATTTCATATATTTCTGATATCAGAATGTCCACAAGATTACTTTTGAAGCCTTTATTAAAATTATAGGAAGTGAGATTTTTATAAAAAGAATAATAGCAGCTGTGTACAAAAAAAAATTATTTCAATTTTTCTTGCATGACACATATGTCTGTCTTTGATGTGAAGCCACTCATATAAAAACAATGTAAAGTATATGCTTAAATATTTAGTATTAAAAGACAGAATTATGAGAAATGTAAATCAACAGTTTAAATTATACTTACGCATTTGGTTTAACAACAGTAATAGGAAAGATGTATTTAAAAAGTTGATGAATTCTCAGTCTAACCAGTTTTTTCAACTCTTCTTGTTTTTCCCTATTACTTTCCGAAACTCTTTCAACCTTTTCATTCTTGTGGGACACAATTGTTTCCATCTCTTGGCATTTCGTGTCGTATCTCGGTAAAGCTTTCGTTCGCTTCTCATTTTTATCTCTTAAAGCCGATAATGTGGTGTTGTTGGCAGATTTCTTGAATCGTTTTTCTTCTAAAGCTGATCGTAATGTCCTTGTTCTATCTTTTGCTTGGCGAATTTTCGAATTCTGCAATAAAATAAATGTATAAGTATAAATGAATGGTCAAGAGGATGAACCGAACGATGGGTAAACACCTGTTTATTTCAGAACATCAAAGAAATTGGGACCAGCACATTCATTTATTCCTAATGACCTACTACTCGGTCGTGAATGAAACTACAGGCCAGACTCCAGGTGAAGTTCGTTTGCCCTGAGACCTAGAGTTTGGCTGCAGACCTTCTGAAGAACATGTTGCAAGCAAAGATTATGTTGACCGCCTGAAGTTAAAAATGAACAACATTCATGACCTTGCCTGACAGCACATCCAGTTAGCCAGTGACAGAATGAAAGATCAATATGATTCTCGATGCAAGAATGAAAGCTATGAAGTAGGTGATCTTGTTTGGCTTTATAATCCATAATGTCGTCGATGCTTGTCTCCTAAACTGCTGTCAACGGGAAGGTCTGTATGAAATTAAAAAGAGAATAAATGACATAATATACCAAATTAGGAAGTTTCCGAAAGGTAAACCAAAAGTAGTTCACATAAATTGTCTTGCACCTTATGCTGGCTCAAATGAAACAGAAGATCATGAGATCAAAGATGACCGACGACCAAGCTTTAATAAATTTATGTCAAATTACACAGAGAGAAAGAGTGCTAGATTTGGCGTGACCACAGAAGTTCAGCAGGATCTTTTTAATGTTCCGCATAACGTCTCTCTAGCCCACCGTGTTGCCCAAGATCTTGAGACAACTAAAGGAATCTCATCCGTATTTTATAAGAAGTTCATTCGTTTGGATGAGTTAAAAAATCAGCAACCTAAAGTTGAAAAAGTATTGAGATTAGAAGATGGTCCTCGATCTTTGCTATATATGGTGACCAGGAAGTCATATACAGACAGGGCAACCTACTAGTATATATGGTGTGCTCTAACTAATTTAAAGAAAATTGTGTTCAATTATGACATCAAGAATTTGCCCTTACCCAAACAGGCCATGCACTAGAAAATCTGAATTGGAAGATTGTCAGAAGCATGCTTGAAGTGATCTTCCTAGAAAATGGTGTGTCAATTACTGTGTGTTGCATTAACCTGAAGAGATTGTGTCCAAAGACTGTAGACTGTTATTTCTTCTTGAGGGGTTCATGCAGAGTTGGAGATTTCTGTATATTCCGCCATCCTGGGCCTACATATAGAGTTGCTGATCGGGACGCTCAGATCTAAAAGGGGAGCAGAGTTACGAACATGTATTCGCTTTAGCCCATATAACAGATGCATCTCGAAACGACGAGAAGCTTCCAGACATGTATCAAGCGCGGGAGAGATCGACCCGTCAAAATAAACGAATTAGAGGTGGACTACTCCAGAATATTCTAGTACATAATAACTTTTATATATAAGTAGCTCCGATATTAGCTAAGTTTAGTTGATAAGATATTTTCGTGCTTTAAAATTATAAATAAATATATTTATATAAATTAAGAACAACTCATTATATTTAAAAATAGTACAGTATATTTAATATGCAAGTTGTTATAGGTGTAGTTTTGATAAAGATTCTGCAATGCACAAGATGATTCTAAATAATAAAATATACTTTGAAGTATTACTTTAATATTTTGTATTATTTATTCTGTACAGCTGCTTTGCTACTATTATTTTTCCTTGTTCGTTATACAGTAAATCTCTGGTAATCTGGCCCCAAACAATACAAAATAAAGAATTACTTCTAAGAACCATCAAACCGAGTTAACCAAAAACAAATACTTATAGATATAGGACAAAGAAAGAAATATATGGGATATGTTAAACAATATTTGCATACTATAAGCATAAAATAGCGAAGAAAATTAGCAAGGGTAGAACAGAATGGTAGATTATAAAGTGAAACTAAAAGTTGATGCGAAAACTATGCCAATAAAATAAGGATAAAAAATTTTATTTTAAGGAGCTAGACAAATCAGCTTTAAATAATATGACATGATTATTTTGGTGATGTAAGTATTTGCTTTATTTATTTATTTATTATTTGTGTAATATATATTTATATTGTTAAAGTACAAACAAAGTACAAAATTACAATAACTTACCAATATATCAGACTTTTGTTTATTCTCAAGAAGCTTAAGACAGTTCCTTTCTAAAATTCCTTTGTTATCCTCAAGTTCCAGCAGTGCTTTCTGTTTATCGAGATACCTAAAAAATAAAATCAATTATAGTAAACAAAAATAAAAAAAATAAAATAAATTTATACCCATCTGTTATCTTGTGTTTAGAGCTATAAAATAATCCGCTATGGAGGCATTCCTTGCAATAAAAAACTTTCCTAAACTTTCGGCATAAAGGGCAACGTTGTCTGTTAGGACTTAATCGACTGCCACTGTCTGTAGATGTAGATAAATGGAAATCTCTTGGCGCTATGCTATCTTCTGAACTACTGGTGGTAGCCATAATAGATTTTTGAATTTCATTCAATATTATGATGAATCATCCTTTATGTACCTAGAAAATACTTAAACAATCGATCAAACTACTTCTGACTATGTTTAAATTAACTATAGTAAATTTAAAATGTAAATAAACCTGCAGTATGTTGATTTTCATCATCATTAACTTTTATTGGTATTGGTATGATCAGTAGCGGTAAATTTGAAAGTAAAAGTGAAACAATTATAAATTTATACAATACAACTACAGAAACAATTTATATACGTTTAATTTGCGTACCTACCATTACTACGTTTTTCGTAATTTTAAAAATATTACGAAATCCCGTTTATTATTTTTCACTAATAACAAAAACTTTGTTTTATTAGCTTTTTTTATTATTAGAGTCGTCTTCTTTCAGAAGATGAAAATTCGTCCCACGTTTGACATTGACAATAGTTACTAATCAAAATATAAATTCTTATTGTTCATTTAAAAAATGTGTATCAATCAATTAATTTTCTTCCTGATGCATATACTTTATATCTACACTTTATCAGAACCAAAATATTTACTAACGATTATTTCAACTACAATTATTTCATTTATTACAAGATTTTCTGTAAATACCTGTTTGTGGTAAATATGGTGGTAAATTTCATTAATGACAGTTGTGTGTTTTGATCTCAATGAAGTTAGAACCAAACAGTTAGGCATAGGCGGCAATTTGGGGGAAATAAATATAGTGAATTAGTGAGTTACCCTAAGCAATTTGGAATTTTGCTGCTGTATATAATACAAAGACGCTGAATATTTAGCTCTTCTATTAGAAAATATATTTGATTTTTGAGAGAAAACAAAAATATATTCAGTACAAAACGTCAACATTTTTCGTCGCTAAAATTGCGCGCTTAATGAGCCAATTATGATTCAAGTAATTATCCAGTACAGCCGGGGGACACTTACAATTAATCTCATCCGAAAATAATACATTTACACAACACTAGACAAAGGACAAACAGTTTAAAAGTTTTTTTTTCAAAATTTAAGAAGCTACATTGTGAGTGACAGCAATAAAGAGACTGCAAGATTTGTTCGACGAAATCAGGACGTAAATGGAGATATTTTCAATAGTTTTTAGATTTTAAAAAGACGTTTGAGAAAGTCAACTACGATTGATCGATGATACCTTTCTACTAGAAACCATCAAGAGAATTAAATATATGTTAATAGTTAATATTATATTACTCTATTATGTCGATCACAATTTGGAATTTAATTTACCAGGGCTGCAAAATAAGTAGCCATTGAGACCATATTTTTTAAATTTTTTATCTCATTGGTACAAGTAAGACATGTTTCTTTTCTTCTCTGGACCCTGGTATAACCAGAACTCTTGTATCGAGGTAACACATTGTTATAACGTGCACAAGCTATAATCCCCAAGTTCCTCAGCTCTATTGGGCATTGCTTAGGCAACACATTTCCCCGTATGCCATGCACCCCATGGGCACGATGGTGTCACAGGTGTCAGACCTTGGGACTGAGGAGCGCAGTAGTCGCAGCATAATATTATATTAATCTCACTTTATAATGAGTCAGTTATGAGACGAGTGTCTGGTGATTTGAAGATTGAGCATGCGGTATTGTATTTCTACATTTAATACCATAGCTGCAGCACCTATGACATATTCTCAGTTGATCCCACAAACCGTGGTTGATCTGCTTGAGACCGTGGAAGTTTGGTTATAACTTATTTAAAACTGATGATTTAGACGTTGAGGAAAAAAAACAATGAGGCATCTTCAGAACTTTTATAATTTATTTATTCTATAAAGAATAAACTGAATGTATGCTATTGCCAAATTATCAGTTTTTCCAATAAATGCGGCAGTGTAAGCCAAACTTTGAGTTTTGACGCGCTAGTTACAATTCGACTATCTTCGACCAGTGTCGTACTAACCTAAATGTCATGTAAATAAAACGACGTCTTTTGTGATAAACACGGAACACGCCTTTTAGTGTTCTCTGATGTTTATTGGATGAAAGGCAACTTAGAGAAAGTCTGAAAGAAGATATAGAGATTATATCGATAATAACGTTATCTGTAAAAGCAATAGCCATCTTTGATTGGTCAAAAATGTTGTCATCATGAAATTTCTATTTTTAGTATACAGCGCACGCGTAACGAGAGTAACGACATTTGAAATCGCCATATTTTTATTTTTATTGTTGTGATCTTTAAAAATCACTAAGACGGGGGAAGAGTAAATTGTTATGTAAAATTACCATTAATTAAACGATTTTATTTTAAAGAAATTTAGGTAAGCTTCTTACATGTCAGATTTCAGTTGTGATACCACTAACCTATGCTACTATAAATTTTTTAGAAAAAAATGAAGTTTCGTTAGTATTTGAAGCTCAATTTATACTAAAAAGCGAAATGGGAGGTTTTCTTGACAAACCTATGACAGATAAATATCAGGAAGATGGGGAAGGAAATGGAATTCGTTATGGGGTAGCGAGTATGCAAGGATGGCGTGTGGAAATGGAAGACGCTCACATGGCCAAAATTAATCTTGGAGAAGCCCTGAAGGATTGGTCGTATTTTGCAGTTTTCGATGGACATGCCGGATGGACAGTTTCTGTGCATTGTTCAGAACATTTGTTGGAAACAATTATGGCAACAGAAGAGTTTCAGGATGATGTTAAGAAGGCAATCCATAAGGGCTTTTTAGGTACTTTTTGCATACAATTTATGATTAACATAGACCAGTTTTAGTCTGTTTTTGCCATTGGTTTTTAGAATCAAATATGCCTTAATTGATTAAGTTTAAAAGCACAATAACTTATTTAAATAATATAGAAATATAACTATTACATAAGCAATTTAAGAAAACTTGAGTTACAAAGTATTTGTTTGACATAAGGTTACTCTATAGTCTATACTGTATAAAGGAAATATCATCTTACTATCCAAAAATGCATTATACAAGTTTATAAAGAAATACATTACAAATATAGCCAAATCATGAAAATATATATTTTATCAAGTGTTGTACTCTCTGTCTGCAATTTAGATATTTTTTGTAAGTTTGGACATAATAGTGTTCATATATCATGGACATATATTTCCATGTATGCCCTTTAAACTGTTTTTAGGATGCAGTTTGATTCCATGGGGCTTTAGAACAGCAGTTTTATAATCCTTGTTCTTGCTTCATCTATTATTTAAAATCAAATGTTCAAAACTTCCCTTAGTTAATTTCATTCTCCTAATCATTTTTATACAATTGTGTACTGATAATGTGTGAATCACACATTTTGGTGACAGCTTGACTATTGTACCTTCTGATAATATCTTAGTGTCTTGTCTCATTAATTTTTAATCCTTTGTAATATGTGGGGTGCAGTACAAATCAATTATTTGTTTAAGTAATACTACCACTTTTATTCATCTTTACACATAATACTGTTGGTTTTTGTCAACTTTTCTTTATACATACATTCTCCATGATAAAATCATATATTTATCTCATTTTTAAAAGCTGCATCCATGAAATTCTTCACATTAAAAGTGAGGATAAGTTTAGTGCTCAAAACATCATTATAAAAACAATAGTTGTGGTATTTTTATGTTATTTACTACCTTTAATAGGAATTAGCCATAATATCAGAGAAAGATATGTTTATTTTAACATTTCAATTCCCACTTTTGAAGTAGAGAAATATTTTGGGGACAATTCCAAAAGTGAAAATCAAAAGAAATGCATTTTCAACTGAAATTGTACCTGATTCTCATTTAAGATGTTAAAAAATATATTGTACATATTTATATTTGTATTAATAACTTTCTTCATGTGGTTTGTATTAATGTACAGATTAGATGGGTATGAATGACATCTCGATTTTTTCTAAAATGTTTAACATCCATGATGTTATTGTAACATGCATGATGTTTTTTTCTAACATCCAGTCATTTTTCAGGAACATATTGGTTTTTATTTTATTAAGACAATCCTATTTTTGGTTTTAAAGCAAGGAACCATCAATTACTGTTTCAGGACTGTATTTGAATTGTTCCATTGAACTCTGTGTTCATTTTCTCATGCATGTTTACATATCTAATGGACTTGATGTTCCACATAAATAAAAATGATCACAGTCACAAGGTATTTTATAAATACAATTCTTTGTTTTTTCTTTTTATGGTAAAAAGAGAAAAATCAAAGAAGTGGTTCTAATAACAATATTAAGTTATTAGATTCTTCAGTAATTTATCCATTAAAACTGATTACAAGTCAATAGGCCAAGCAAATTTCTACTGACGTTTTTATTTTACCAGAAGTTTCTGAGAAAGGAAAAATGAGCTCTGCAACACAACATCCAAATGATAACTATAAAAATAAATAAAAATCTCATAATATGCCTAACAAATTAAATTTTTCTAGTAAAAATTGTTTACTTGTATATAAATCAAAACTATCATTACATATGGATAAAAATCTTATCTAAACAATGAGTCATAAGTACTTAATATTTCTACATGTAAATTGATAAACTAATATTCATCAATAAGGAATTTAAATTATTTATGGACAGTTTTCAAACCTTAAGGTAACCTTAGTTTATTTTCCCAAAAAAGATATTTTTGGGTCATATTTGATATACACATTCTTATGAATGCTTTTTGTTTTGTTTGTTTGAAACCTGAATTGTTTGTGTTTTAGCATTTGCCTTTGACTTTATTATGTAATTAAATTTGATTTTTTGAGTCTGCTGTGTATCAACAAACCATAAAACTAGACTTAAGCCAACTTAAGTTTGATAAACTACAGATACCTTCTTACATTAAATTTTCCCTTGATAACACTATTTTTCAATATAAATAAAGATTAGTACATTTAAATATTTAATGAAAAAAATTGACAATAGTTAGTGAAGATAATTGTTTAAATAGTAATATAAATGCAAATAAATGACTACAAATAAATTATGTGTTATAATTTATGAGAAAGTTCTCAAATTATAATGTATTAAATCAAATTACTATTTCTTCAAAGATTTATGTGCATTGTTTAAACTTGAGCATATAAATGAACAATTATTTATTTATACTTAAATATAAACATTTGATCTGTTAAGAGATAGAAAACCTTTTAAAATGGAATATTCTAAAAAATTTTAAATTAATTGGTTTCTCCAAAAACAGCAATATAGTGCAAAATTGTTTATTCCTTTATTTATTTATGGATATATCATTTTTGCAAAATATAAAGTCAACCTGTATAAAGAATTAAGTTGCATTAAAAAAAGAAACATAAATTATAATTAAACTAAATTAAATTATCAACTTAACTTTTCGGTAATCATACTCAAAACCTTGACTGATTTCTTAAATGTTGTTATAGGTATTCCAAATAACTCAAAACTATTGCTGTGCTCATTGGCAGTTCTTAAAATGTTTGTAATTGGTTCATTTTGAACATAGTTTGTAGTATAAAACTGAATGTTAAAAATCTCAGTATTAGGAGTTCTTATAGTATTAACATTGAAACTTGTTAAACATAGTAACTTTGGATCTTCTACATATCCATTCATAATCTTATGAAGGAAACATAAATCTGCTTCAAACCTTCTATGATGTAGTGACGAACTATTAAGTATTGAAGATATATCGTCATATGTGTATTGCTGTCTAATAAAATCAATCCTGTAAGCACATTTTTTTAAATTCATTTGAAACTCTTTGGATACTGTAGATATCACCATTATTTGAAGTAGGTCAAATGAGAGAACCATACTCCAAAACTGATCGAACTACAGTATAATATTTTTAGTTTGTAGTGAAAACTGATTACAATTTCTAAGAATAAATCCCAACATCTTTAGAGCTTCAGTTGAAGTTTCATTAATATGATATTTAAAAGTTAATTTAGAATCAAAGTTTATACCCAAATCTTTGATATTATTACATGCCTCTAAAGGTGCATTATTTGTACAATAACAATAATTTACCAACTTCCTTGATCTACCAAATGTAATGTTAAAAACATTTTTTATATTTAAGTATAGCATATTTACCTTGCAGCAACCAGCTAAGCTTTTAAGATCATTTTATAACAAAGAGATAACTAGGTTATTAACTATTCGAAAAATCTTCTATCACCTTGTAACATTGCTAAGGATAGGTGTCACAAATTCCAGCATGTTTTGAGCTTCAGATACCAAACCTATATCTCCACTAAATAACCAGACCCTACCTGATTCATTCCTCATCACACATGAGGAAATGACATACAGGATTTACCTATTATTAAATAATCAAGCTTGCCAAACATGTAAGCAAACCAACCACTTAACAAAAAACTGCCCAATATCTACTGACTACAACAGATAATTCAACATCAAATAATCCATTTCCAAACATAGATCCAATTGAAAACACAACTAATCTACCAATTCAAAAAAGCCAAAAAACATTCATCAACAACAACCAAAAGACCCAACCACTAACTATCCAACGGCAAAAACCACACATACACCCAACTAACGAAGTTTCTCAAACAATGACCTAAAAATTTATCTAGAAAAGGAGACAATACATATAAACACAGGCAAAACACAAAACAAATGCACAATATCCCAAATATCTTCATCAGCTACTACAACTACAGAGGAACCTACTTTCATAACACCAAAAAATAAAGAGAAGAAAGTCAAATCAGATCAAAATATCAAAATAAAAAAAACACTAGAAGAAATGCTAAGTTACACTAAAACATTATTTGATAACCCAAACTCCAACTACCCTGTAACTTACGAAGAGTTATTAGACTTTTTTGAAAATTGTGAGGTCTAACCAGACTTATTGACTATCACCAAAATATATACAGAAGAAGCAGCATACCTATTTCATAGATCTGTTAACTAAAATATACTCTTATCTAAAGGACTGAAAAATTAAAAATGCTTATCTGAAGGACTGAAAAATTAAAAATGCACTCGAATAAGAAATAAAATATTAAAGCAAATCAACCCAACATTCAAACAGACTTATAGACACATCTACAGAAACTTATTATTATTTTCAACTCTCTAATTCAATGTAACAAATGGAACATAAATGAGTATTATTCCCATTTAGAAATATTAAAATTAATAATTTCAAAACATAAACCTAGTTTGATATGTTTACAAGAAACCAACTTCGAAAACAACAAAGCTCATAACTTAAATAACTTTAGTTGTTTCTTTAAAAATCGAGAAAATGTGAACATTGCTAGCAGAGGAGACAAAAAATAACTTTAATGCTAAACCAATTAAACTCACAACTATCGAGGCAATTAAAATTATGGAATGGAACATACAGGGGTCTTATAGCCATTTAGAAATGTCAACAGTGTGTAAAGTGTGCAATGGTATTTTAATGGCAAAACATTTTAATAAAGTGTCTCAAATATAATAGTGAATGATGAAAATATAACAGACCTGACTCGCTAAAATATGCCCTCGAAGAAAACTTTAAAAGATCTAAAACACACATTTTAATACACATATAAACTTATGTATATAAATTATTTATATCAACTGTCACATTAATCTAAATAAGCTAACAACCCTGCATGATCAATGTGTTAAAAAGAATGTGAAACATTTTACGGCTCTTATATTATTTAGAAATGTAATAATTACACACATGTTATTTTCCCAGATACGAAGTCTGCACTGTAGGTAGCTTTAGAAAAATGAAGGTTTTGCTATAATGTTGAAGTATTTGCTTGTGGTGCAACAAATGCTTTTGCTTCAGTTGTAAAGCAGTTGCGACAAACTTCATGCTTATTTATTAACCTTACTTTGAAGGTTTTGAAAGGTACATTAATTTGAAGTAAAAGCATTTGCTACGTTTTATTCATGAGACACATTAACAGCCTGATGTAAGGTACTTCAATTGAGAATTATATATTGTGATCATCTTACCTCACAATTATCTTTTTTCTCCATGTAAAACATGATAAAGTTAATAACATATCAAATATTTTATTTTTTAATTGCGATATTTTAAAAACTTTAGTATTCAGAAGAAATATTTATAAGTATATTCTTTTAGAACTGGACAGTAAAATGCGCAGCCTGCCCGAGATGACTTCTGGTGAAGACAAGAGTGGTACCACTGCAGTCTGTGCTTTTGTTTCGCCACGCAATATATATGTAGCTAATTGTGGTGACTCGCGCGCTGTATTATGTCGTGATAAGGCCCCAATATTCACGACTCAGGATCACAAACCTGTCTTACCCAGTGAAAGAGATCGCATTGTGAAGGCAGGAGGTTCTGTTATGATACAGAGAGTGAATGGTAGTTTGGCGGTAAGAAAATAATAAATTTATTGATAAATATTTCATTTCCATAAATAATATTATCATGTCAACTGTACACAGAGTCACCAGTTTATGTTTCAATATAAAATACATACTATATCTCTTGGATATAGACAGAATGATAGAAGCATGAAAGTAAATAATGATCAATATAATCTCTAAATTAAAAAAATGGTGTTTTATTAAGAAGGTTTAAGTTTAATTAATAAACAAAATTAACAAATGGACATTTGTAACTGAACAGTAACATTATTTTGACCAACTAAAATAACATATAATTTGTTGCTAGATATTTCGGATTTAATCGTCTAGGTACCTCAAGTTGTATACAGGGTTGAACTTATATACTGATACATTTTATAAAAATTATGGCAATCCCACAAAGTAAAAGAAAAATACTTAGAAGTATGAAATACTTTTATGTTAAAATATATATATTTATCATAATGAAAGAATACAAAAACAAATAATTTTAAAACTTAACTATCATCTACATTTAAATCGGTATCACTATCATAGCTATCGTTTAAATCTATAATTGCTCTATTTATAATATTTTTGGAACTGTAAGTATTTTTCTTCTAGTTTTTTGACATGCTCTATACATTTTTTCCAATTATCTGCTGTAATATTATTACATTCAGTCTTAATTAAATCTACAACAATTGAAAATGATTTAGGAGAATTATTATTTTTCCTCACATTGCTTTTTAATTGAGACCACAACAATTCTATTGAATTCAGTACACAATAGTAAGGAGGTAGTCTTAATACTTTATGCCCATAATTCTCACCTAGCCTGCCGATAACATAATTTTTTTCACATTTAACTTATTTTAATAGTTCTATAAGTTGTTTTTTTGTGTGAGACTCCATAAAATATATTTCATGTTTTGATAAAAATTCTTGAATTTCAGCTTTGTTTGAATTAGTGTTTGGAATTTTACTCTTCAGTCTACAATGATATGGAGCATTATCCAAAATAATAACGCTATTTATTTTTAATTTAGGTAGTAATTGCTGCTCAAACCACTTTTCAAACAAAATACTGTCCATATCTTGATGATAATCTAAGCTACAATCACTTACATTCTTAGCAGAGAGTAATAAAGTATCTTCTACCCATCCTGATTCTACCCCACAATGTAAAATATAAATTCTCTTCCTTCTAGAGGGAGGAACATTGGTGACGAAATTTTTACTACCATCGGTCCAACATTTTTTAACTATATCGTAGGTGTCGAACCAAGTTTCATCCAAATATTACAAGTTCTTCCCTTCACTCCTAAAAAACCTTAGACTCTCAAATAATCGAACCTCCACTTTATTAAACAGCTGGATTCCATTATTACCTACGGTTTATTCACTATTTTAAACATAGATAGATTAAATACCTACCTGGTACTAAATAGTACCTACACGATTTTTGTATATATAAATTCTAAATACCTTTCTTTTAGGTGAGTCGAGCATTGGGCGATTTTGATTACAAAAATGTGGAAGGGATGGGTCCATGTGAACAACTCGTTTCACCGGAACCAGAAATATTTGTAAGAGAGAGGGACGATATATCGGACGAGTTCCTTGTTTTGGCTTGCGATGGTATTTGGGATGTAATGAGTAATGAGGATTTGTGCGCATATATACACCATCGTCTATGCATTACGGATAATCTTAAAGAAGTTACCAGTCAAGTTATTGATACCTGTTTGTACAAGGTAAGAAGGAAATCATTTTTTAATCTTTAAAAAAAATTTACTTTAGTGGATTATCAGCAGTCTTTATTTAGACAAACAAAAATTGAAAACTGAAACTTATTTACTTTACATATTTTCAAATATTTTATTGAATACATCAATAAAAAGATTTCTGGCCTATTTACGACTGTAAAAAAATTTTAGTGATCTGTTTGGTTGAAAATACTCAATTGCATAAAAATTGTGATTTTAAATTGCGAAAATCGCGTCAGATGAATTCGCCTCATTCAGATTGGCGAACGAGGAAAGATTTGTACACATTTTACAAAGAAAAACAAAGTTATGATTCCAGTACCTAGGTTTGAAATACACTGTTAAACAAACTCTTGGAATATCATTTAAAACTATGAACTATGCAAGCGTGGTTCATTTAAGAGAGCAATTTTAGAATGGAAATTAAATTATCGAATGGTCGCAAATAAAATACTTCCAATGTTGATACGAGATGCCGGCAGGTGGAATGCAACCGAACGTCTGCGGTCCCTCCGGTGAGTACCGATCGCACAAGGATAGAAATTATTTTCATTTATTAATTTTTAATAAACGAAAATTTCTCCGCCCAGGTGAGATTCGAACTCAAGACCTTTAGGTTCAAAGGTAGGCGCTCTTACCACTGAGCCACAGAGGGGGTACCAAATAATTTGAATTCCTTAAAATATTTAAATATACCACAATTCCCAAACCGTCAAAAATTGAAACCATATAAATTAGGATTAATAAAGGGACTAGAATCAAATTTTTCTCTGCAGCTCCAGAAAATTCAAATATATTTTCATGATTTCATTTTTTGGCATTTTAACATAATTTTGTGAAAACAATATGAAATATAACAATATAAGTTTGTCAATTTCTTATTTTGGCAAAAACTGCAGTTGTGATATGTAGTCAATGTAACTGTTATTAATAGATAATGTTAAAAAGCTTTTATGAGATTAGATAGTAATATGTTTTAGGTAAATATAATTTCAAAATAATATATTTCTAAAGTTAGACTATAAAAAATAGAATGCTTTGCCGATCACATAAATTTTCACTAATACATATCCAAAATTTTTGCAACTATAGATTAAAATTGATATCAGCAAATTTATTTTAAAACCCTAAAGCAGTATGTTGTTATGTGTTCCCTTAATTTTATATGATAAATGTAAATATCAGACTTTTTCGCACTGAGATAATCCAAATTTTTAAAGATTTTGAATTATCATTATTTTTTTGTTATTTAGTTTATTTAACAAACAGGATATACGAAACGGTCACTCTACCGAAAAACTGGTTAATCTCTGCTTATTTAGATAATCCCAACAAACGCAAATCAAGCAAATTTATAGACCATAAAACAGTCTGCCTAATCAAGTCGATCCTAATATGGATTTATAAAGAGAACAGAAACTGGGGAAGCAATGAATACACTTATCGCCAAACGAGATCTAGAAGTACAAAGAAAACTAGATGATTGTTTCATTTAATACACAAAGGCTTTCGATCCCATCAAGCACTACAAATTGATCCAAGTTTAGACCATATTGGAAAAAGTATTTTTTTACAGATGAGTGTAGAATGTCGAATGTATGTAAAAGATGGTTGGAACAAGGGCTGAACGTTATGATCCCTGTAGTGTCCTGATTAAGAGAAGCGCATTAACAACCCACAGGTGCATAATAGATCCTACATCAGATAATGCCATATGCTTCAGTTATTGGCAATGATATACTCATATTCAATTCAAGAGCTATGACCTTGTAATTATTTGCACAGAACTAATTGGCAGCAATACAGACAATTCTCAGACTGAATGCGGAAGAGATTTTCCTCCTAGGTGGCAATGCCATCAAATACAGCATGAAGCACTGGAATCACATAGTAACCCCTTACTCCAACCTCTGCTAGAACACCAAGCCAATAGGAGACTCAAAAGGAACTAGCCAGCTGACCTGAAAAACGGTTAAAGTGGTCTTGTCACTGGAGAAGACCTCACCACGCCAATAGGAGCCTCCTTGCTCCGCAGCCAGCAAACTAGCTTATAGAACTTTATTTGTGTTTTTTGATTGCTGAAGATTGTGTCATAATAAAAATTAAAAGGTTTCTTAATGCTTTTAAAACATTTACCAAGAGATTTTTTATAAAAAAATTGCTTTATAATACATAAAAGGAACTAAACAAAAACTTGTTTTAAAATATTGTTTAATTTTTCTTTTAAAAAACACAAAGTTTACTGCTATTTAAATAACACGAAAGTTTCTCACAGTCTGACGAAAAATCTATGTAATCATCTTGTTCATCATTTGCATCTTCCCTAGAAGACTCAGCAGCAGTGTTTGCGTTTTCCTTTCTGTTTTTTACAATTTGTCTCATGCGGCAAATCATTATAAAAATGATGGTAAATGGAGAGGAAGGGGTATGAATTTTATCAGCTAATGCTCAGTATATATTTTCAATCTGATTACCACATATTTCAGTAGCAACGACTTATTTTGTTAATGAAACTTTTCAACAGTGTCTATCGCCTAAGTCAATATCGCTGGTTTCTACTTAAAATAAGTTATTAAAGCGTGTGTTTTATTTTAGGGGAGTCGCGATAACATGAGTATCGTATTAATATTGTTTCCTGGTGCCCCCACACCAACTCCTGAAGCTGTGATGGCTGAAAAAGAACTAGATGCAACCATTGAAAGGCATGTCAAAGGTAAGAAAGTAGTTGTGGCTTGCGACGATGAGATAATTATGCTTGAGATATATTTTTAGAGTTCTTAGAACAAGGTGATAAACAATTTAGTGAAATTCTTCATAGTCTTATGTCAATTCATGTTGAAGGATTGCCACCTGGAGGAGGGTGGGCTTCGAAGTAAGTATTTATTTTTACTAATGCTTTTAAAATAAACAATTTAAAAACGTACAATAATTTCTGATATAAGGTTTATAAATTTTTTATACGCATTTAGCGAAAAGCTGGACAGTTTTTTAAGTACAACTTTCGCCATGTAACAACAGGTTACGTTATTCAAAATTTATGACGTCAGAACTCCAAAGCGTTGGGAAAACATCAGAATAGTAAATAAATGTGAGGAAGAAAATAATCACTAAACATTCGGGAGAACCTAATAGAATTGCATTCCAAAGAGGCCCTTCAAAAGAAACTGAAGAGAGCACCAAAAGATAATAGGTCGGTTTCGAGGTATAAACTACCATTTTTTAAAGTTATCTTAAATAAAAAAAAAATAAAAAAGTAAATTCTTCAATTATCGCATTATCCAGATACATCCACAAATTAAAGAAAATCCACACTTAATATACAAATATACATTTAATATAAAAAAAGAGATCGTGATACTTAGGGAGTGCCGACAAAAGTTATTACGTCTTCTAGCGTGTTATTTAGAGACCGACCGATTAATAGGCATCGGCTTCGGCCACCTTCGGCCAATATTTAAACCTTCGGCCAAAATTCGGCTTCGGCCAAAACAAAGCCGAAGGTGACTATAGAAATGAAATAATCTCTGAACAATACGCTTCGGCGAGTCTTTGATAATTTGAATAATATTTACACACTATTTTCTACCCTCAACTAAAACGTTTTACAAACTTTCAGGTCAGGTAATAGTAGGTAGGATATAAATTTTAACAATAGTCCAAGATGTCTTAAAGATCTTCATTTGAATATTTCTCACGTAGTAAAATTATGATAATAATTTTATTGTATTTGTTAAAACTCACGATTATTGGTGTTTTGAATAGATACCTAAATGGCAAAACATCGACCATCGACTATGAATGCAAAAATTAAATATTTTACAACAGTTTAAGTTTATTCTCTCGTGGGTGCAGCTTTGCTAATAGTACTTATTTACCCGTGAAATATATATATTATAATTTACGTTGCAAAATCAGTTCAGGTTTTTGTTCTAGTGTTTGTAAAAATAACTTTTGGTAAGTCAGTAATTTTTATTTTAATATAATTTGTTTATGCAACAAAGCTGCATGCAAACTATGTTCAAAGTCATTATCGCTTGGCAGTTTAATACCTAAAAAACAAACTATTACAAACATTAAAAATCATCTACAAGAAATCCATACAGAAGAATGGAAATCATTTTGTGACATCGAAAATTGGAACATATGAAAACTCCACATGATGTTACACAACCAGTTTCCAGGACATTTCAGCCCAACCTACATCAAATAATGGAACTTAAGTCACCTGCTCTATGGCCTGATGATCATCTGATATCATCTAGGATTGGTAAGGGTATCATGGACCTTATTATTGTCGATATGTTACCATACTCTATCGTTGAAGGAGAAGCTTTTCAGCGTTTAAATTTTGGAGATCCTAATGTTACTTCCAAATACAGAAAAAAAAACGGAAAAGTTTTTTAGAACTAGTTTAATGCCAGCTACCTATGACAGAGTTTGGAAAAAAGTATCAAATTTAGTTTCTAAAGCCGAATGGATAAGCTTTACGTCAGATATTTGGAGCAATCCTGCTAAAACCTGTTCTCTTTTGAGTTTTACAGCTCACTTTGTTCATGGTTCAAAACGTCTTAAAGTTATATTAGGCGCTAGTGTGCTTAATGATGACCACACTAGTATGTTTATTGCAAGTAAACTTAATGAAATAATTAAAAATTTTAAAATAGAAAACAAAATTCATATAGCTGTAACTGATAACGCAGCAAATATGGTCGCGGCTATTCGTATTACACAATTTACATCTCTAAGATGTGTGGTTCACTCATTACAACTTGTAATTCATGATTCTTTATTAAAACAGGAATTAATTGAAAAAAAAATTAAAAAATGTAAAATTGTGGAACATTTTAAAAGGAGGTGAACAAGCGTGCAGGTACCTGAGGCAGTTTCAACAAACTTGCAGTTTGCCACAGCATATGTTAATTCAGGATGTGGAAACAAGATGGAATAGCACTTACCTAATGTTGGAGCGGCTATTCGAACAGAAAGTTGCAATAAATTTGTATATGGCTGAACGTGGTGGTATTGAAGTTCCCAGTTCAATAGAATGGGAATTGATCAACAATTTAATTTCAGTTTTAACTTGTTTTTACCAAGCGACGCTAGAACTTTCAGCCGATTCTGCTTGTGTATCATTGGTTATCCCACTAATAAAAATGCTAAATGGTAAAAAGTTTCTGCGAAAGAGCAGGACTCTGAGGAGATAAGTTTATCAAAGCTACGACTTCGTGAATCATTAATTAAAAGATTCGCTAATATTACAAATTTGCCAGAATTGTCAATTGCGACTCTTCTAGATCCTTTAAATCAAAATATTTGACAGACGAGGAAGTAATTACATGTAAAGCAAGAATTTTAAAATTTCTACGTGAATCTGATAGCTCTAAGTTTAGTTATACAAATAAAGTTCCTATGGCTATCGCTTCAACATCATCATCTACAACTACACATGTAGAAGATCTAGAAAACAATAGTCTTTGGAATTCACATGATACTTTTGTCACAGCCGTTCTAGATACAACAAAAGAAAATCATAACGACAACAATCCCAATGCAGATTACCTAGATTCGTATTTACGAGAGGCTTTGCTTTTAAGAAGTGCCGACATATTTCATTATTGGGAATCAAGTTCCTATATTTCTTTAAAAACTGCAGCCAAAAAATTTCTATCGGCACCACCAACGAGTGTACCTAGTGAGCAGTTATTCAGCTCTGCTGGGCAACTATACGCTGACAGAAGAACTAATTTGTTGGGAGAAAACGCTGACAAGCTTCTTTTTCTTACGTATAATATTAGGATGTTTGATTTCGAATATTAACTACCAGATCTAGTAATCATAAATACCTACTCACTTGCTTTAATGTTTTTTAATGTTATTTATTTTTATTATCGCTTCTATTACCAAATAATGTATAAATATTTGACTTTTTTATCTCATAATTTTATATTTTTGTTTATCACTTATCAGTTAATAAAAATATAATGCACATTATTTAAATTATTAACATATAATAGGTAATAGGTATATTTTTAGTCACCTTCGGCTTCGGCCGAAGTTATCCTTCAGGCCGAACTCCGGCATCGGCTTCGGCCAAAAAATCACATTCGGTCGGTCTCTAGTGTTATTACTGTATGCAGATTAATGAAATTTTAAGTCTGCTTATGATGAAATTGTTAATATTTTAATATGTTAATAACACTACACATTAAGTTCTTTAAAATTGAAAAAATCCTAATGTTTTTTTTTAAATTTTAGTAATTTTCAAAATTTATTTATTTATTATAATTTTTTTATTTTTTTATAAGTTTTATAACTTATTATAATTTTTTTTTATTTTAATTAAGTTTACAGAATTTTTTAGAAATATTTTAAAATCAAAATTAACTAAGTCGTTCTCGAACTGTTCTAAAAATATTGATATAAAATTATAATAAGTGTGTCCCATCTTTGAAAGGGATAGACTTTCAACGGGCATTAACGTAGATTGACAGTTAATTCAGAAACTTTTTTATGTTTTACGGTTAGTTCAAGGTCTGTTACTATAAATTTACGGAACAGTCCTTACATTGATCACAATTGTTAACAATAATTTTGTTTCAGACGTACGCTAGTTGAAAGAATTTTCCAGGAATTATGTCCCGAACAAGCAGAATCTATAAGTCAAAGTTGTGATTTTTCTTTTAACTATTAATTTCGTGGACTGATTTTTATTTACCGTCAAAATTTGTTACTGTAAGTTGAATTGTCATTTTCATTGTTGAACTAGAAATTAAAAAAAAATAGATAATGGAGAAGCGTTACTTATCAGTTAAACAGGGTACGAATTCAAGGAGAGATATCGACGGTTTACCCAACAAAAATGTACAATTCTAGGATAGGGTTATAATTTTTTATTAATCGTGATTTTTGTTTTTTTGTAATTTTCATTGCTGCCTTCAGGTTGTATTATGGATGTAATAAGTCTAGTTTTTCCCAATAGGTACTTGGTGAACTCGTGGTTTTCTTTACATGAACTTTGAGAAGTCCTAAAATAAACAGAAATAAGAGGGTAGAGAGTTTAAGCTTATGGAATGACCGTTATAAAGTTGTATCGTCTAATTTTGATATTTGTTGCAGATTTTTATTTATTTACTAATATCTTTATGTTTAACTCTTAATTTTTGCTTTATATCAATTTATATTATTTATTTACAAAAAGAATATATATCTACAACCTTAATAGTTTAATTGCAATTAATTTGTACTTATGCATGTTAGTAATTTATGTTTAATTAATGCTATTTATCTGAAAGAAGCCCTTTAGAATATCTTTACTCTCGAAATAAATTAAAGAATTGTCCATTGTAGAGGAATATATCAATTTTAGTATGTTCTTCGTCGTGCGCTTATATATAAGGTTCTTGAACTCCGAAGTGGAGCATAGAGCTTCAGTGAAAACGCGCCATCGGGTTCTATTTTGCGCTAGAGCCTTCACCTCATTCCAAGACTTTCCTTGGCCTCTTATCTCTTCCGTCGTGCGCTTATCTTAAAAATATTGTAACAGATGTTTTACGGCGATGCTTAAGCAGGAGCATGACAGAATAATGTCCAGCTGTAATCTGCCAATAGCAATAGACTAGGACTTAATTTACCTTGGTAACGCTTTTTCTATACCTACAACATCTTTGTCGAACCATTCTCCATGTCGAGCACTTAAGAAACCTAACTTTTCTGGAAAGAAATTCAGATGAGCATCCAGGAGGTGAATTTTTAGGGACATCCTATTTGTGTTGGTAGTAAGTAATTCATTAACAAGATCTTTGTAATAATTGCCAGCTTTGACATTGCGAAGAAAATTGGACACAACTATTTTAAAAGCTCTCATTCAGTCTGTGACAGATGGAGTTTTAAGAAACATTTTGATTTTTGAAATTCCTTTGAAACTTTGAAACTTGAAAATTTCAAGTTCTTCAAATGGTGAAAGGGCTGCTGGTGTGAGCACATATTCATGAATGTTAGGGAAATAAGTGTTCTACTCCCAATCCGTAATAGGTTTTTTTGATTTTTGAAAAATAAATGGGCCACCGGTTTTTCTGATTGCAAACTTTTTCAGCATCTTCAGACCCTCAAGAAACTAAGGATATCAGTACAAGTTGTAACATCTTACACCTGATGCATCCCTAACCGTGATCTTTTTAATGGCCGCTGTATAGTCATTCCCTCATCCAACCAGGTTAGCAATACTCGGAGAAGCCTTCGACGATAGTGACGATTGGTGGCAGGAAAACAGTTTTAGTGTCTTTAATGTCACCGCTAGCCAGAAAATCCAGATCCAGAAGAGTTGCTGCACATCAAAAGAGTTACTCGTTCTTTGCATCCACGCGCATTTGTTTGCTTTGAGTTGCCAATTTTTTGGTTGGAAGCATTCTGAAATTGAGGCCCGTTTCGTCACAATTGAAGATTTGGTCTGACGTAAGGCCATGCTCTAAAATGAGATCTCTCAATTTTAAATTAAACGGCTCAATTTCCGATGAATCGGCCGAAACTTTTTTACCCGAAATGTTCAGTTGCCATCTGTCGAGCCAACCGACACTTGCGGTAAAATTTTCCTCGCCATCCTTAAATCTTTTGTGAAATTCAACAGCCTTAGCTTGAAGCATCTTCTTCTTAGCCTTCTATCGTCCATGTTTGGACATAGACCTCTCACAACTTCTTCCATCGAACTCTATCCTGAGCAAAATATTTCCAATTTGTTTCGGCTATTCTGTTAATGTCATCAACCATCTCATCTGTGGTCTTCCTCTTGGTCGTTTACTTTCGTAAGGTCTCCAATGTTGTATTGTAGTATTTCACCGTTGATCTTTTTGACTAGCAGTGTGGCCGCGAAGCTTCATTTAAGTTTGGCAATTTTTGTTGTTATGTCCTCGACTTTTGTTTTTGATCTTACCCAGTCGTTCCTCTTTTTATCTGACAGTCGTATACATAACATTGCTGTTTCCATTGTTCTTTCTATGTGGCTAGATAATTCATGTTTGCCTTGGTTAGGGTCCAGATTTGACATCCATATGTTATTATAGGAAGTATGCATTGGTTGAACACTTTGCTCCTTAATTATTGGGGGTATTTTGCGGTTCTAACTATCCAACTAAGTTTTCCAAATCCTGCCCATGCTAGTCTTGCTCTTCTAGTAATTTCCGCACTATGGTTATCTTTGTCAAGTTTCAGGATTCTTGAAGCACGGGGCCTCTAATTGGACTTTCCAACTCTCGAAGATTAAAAAACCATAACAATAAGGCTTCAGAAGTCTGTTCGTATTCTCCTTTCTTCGTAGTTTTCCGCAACACATCACTTCCACCACTGAAACTTTTATTAATCCATTGTTTAATATATTTTCGTTTACGTCTAACTTCCACAGTTACTTTTCCAACACCTAGATCAGCAGCAATCTTATTTACTGACTCATCCTTCAGTTCCCGTTAGCTCAAGCTGATGGGTGGAGCAGTGGCTGGTTAGGTCGTCCGTAGAAGCATAGTGACTAGAACATTAACACTCGCTAGTGCCACTCTGTTCTTTTCAGTTGCTACCTCAGTTAATCCAGAATCTCGGTTAATCGGGACTCAGATAATCACGAGTTTACTGTAGTAACAACCATATATTAATTTTAGTTATCAAGTAAATCGGGAAATAAAGGGCTTTCCGTGCTTATTCTTCCGTAATAGCTCGTTTATTTGGATGCACAGTATTGCTGTAATTAAAAAAACAATCAGGTACTATAAAATATTAATATTAAGAGAAAACTTGTTACGTTAGCCACAAGGTGGGGCCAAAATCGGAAATGTACTAAAAATAAGACTAAAAGTAGTCTTGCATAAACATACACTATCGGTTACGAGGACGTGAGTACTGAAGGTAAACGCATTGACAATTCTACGCATTGATAGCGCATGTCAAAAATTGTATGTGGTGAGGTTGTTGACAAACTCACCTTATGGTTGGTAGTATTGACAATTTTATAAATTCCTGTTGTATAATTATTTAATGCTAGTACCCAACATAGGTTTTTTTTATTATTCAGAAGATAGTATTAGTTTCATGTTGTGAATGTAGTAGCTATATTTGTATAAACCGAAAACATTTCTGTTTATTTTATGACTACAATGAATTTGATAAGGTGTGTATAGCTAGTATCTAGTCATTTGATTGATGTCGAATTGGATTGTGCCTAATTCTCATTGGACAATAGCGACGTCTGTATCCATTTATTACGGAAAAATAGACATCGTTGTATGTTTGTCCTAGAACTACAGGCGCATGCGTAGTGGTGTTGAAAAGATGTGAAGTTGAAATTTGATCCGATTCTTAACCAAAGCATTTTTCGGTTAATTTACATTACATATTTACATATTTTACTAATTAACGTAACATTAAGATTGAAAAGTTATAATATTTCACTTAATGTAGCAAGCACGGCATGAGAGGTTATAATCAAAATAATCCAAAAGTTGTAAAAACTCGTCATTTCTTCAACCTTCGTAAAGTACAGCTACAATGTCTAGTTTTAAAATTCAACTTCACTTTAAATTTGGATTATGCTATTTTCGTTTCTAGATTATGAATTATGTTAGTTCTGGTTCTGATCAGTAACAATTGTGTTTTACTTGTTATAGTCTTTATAATCACATATTTTTCATTACAGAAATATGTTATATTAGGAAATAACATTACAGATAAAATAATATTAATAATAAAATACTGTAATGGCTTTATATATTTAGAAAGAATGCCCTTTTAAACACGAATGCGTATTAAAGTCGTCAAAGTCTTCTGCTTTTGTTGATACTTCTAATCTATGTTTTTCAGAACTTTTTGAAAGATGATTTTTTTATGTAGCTTTAGCAAAGGGACGATTTGGTCTTATAAATCGTTCCATATTGCGATAAGAAAGCCGATAGGCGAAAGCGATAAGAAAGATTTCGGAACTTCTTTTTTATGTGCCGTCTTCTATCGAAAGTTGGCGACCATCAAACGATAGGTTTCTCTGTTTTGTGCCGCATGTATTATGTTCGCAGCTTCTGGTATTTGAAACCATTCTCTCAAGTTTCCCAGCCAGGATTTCTTCTTTCTGCCCAAACCTCTTCTACCTTCAATCTTGCCTTCCACGATAAGCTGTAGCAGACTGTACTTATCATTACGGAACACGTCCCAGGTATGACGCTTTCCTCCTTTTAACAGTTGTCAACAATTCCATCTCTTTTTTCGGAGCTACGTTTCTTAAATGATCAGGATCTAAAAAGACCTATTACAGCATTTATGGCGTTGGTGGAGCAACATGTAGATTCGCCAAATGTACATATAGCTCTGTTTACTTCGCCCATTTTGCGGATATGACATTTGGATCTACAGTGTCCCGTGAGACGACCTGTCATTCATTCTGAGTTGTTTGCTTGCTTAGTAGGCTGCACTATGTTCATTTTTCAATCCTCTAGTATATTCTATTAATTTTAAGGAGGGATAGGCAGTAAAGTACTCAGTAATTAACAAAAAAAAGGCGAGAAAGTATATGAAACAGTTTTAACTCCAGTATCACTAGTACATATAAGGATCACTTTACCAGAAAGCTATATTATGTGACTACTGGCTTAAACTGCTAATTTTTATTGTATTTTTCACTATAAGTGAGAGGTCTAACGTATATAGCAATCGTCAGATCTGCTAACTCAAAGCGAAAGTAAAAATCCTGTGACACGTAACTCAAATTGAGAATAGGTGTAACGATTTTTATTTAAACAAAATTGTGGATTTGTGCTGATTTGGCGTTTGATAATCACATTTGCTCCTATCTATAAAGGCAGCAGTTGGATTCTGGCTTTGATTCTAATCCTCTCTCTTAACTTAACCGAAGAATTGTGTTTTATTTTAGAATGATACGTAAATACTAAACTCGAGTTCACCTTGCCCTGTTAGAATATGCGCTATAATAAAATAAGGGATTGAATTTTTGTTATCAATATCTTTATTTTGAAAAGTAACATGTACCTATGTGAAAACAGGATGTGAAGCATCGCTACATATTTTTTATCAAATATTTTTTTTATAAAAGACGGTTAAACTTGGGGGCATGTAGCTTTTTTCTTTTTGATATGAATTTTACAAATATGCACAAATGCCAGTTTAACATCTTGGCCAGACTTAACTTTTTCAAACTTTGTATCTTTGGAATTCAGGTATTTTTTCAGATATTTAGATTGACCTCAATTTTTTTAGAGTATGTGTACAGTAGTAAATTATATTTTTAAATAAAATTGATTCCATTAAAAATGTTTTTTCTTTTTTCCAAACCGGGGTGAAAAATACTGTTTACATGGACTAGATGATATTAGTTCAGCCAAGCTTACAATACAATAAGAATAACCCAAATATTACTAAGTCCGGCATTTAGAAATATCAAAAAAGATCATCCAGTTTGTCAAAATAACGTTAGAAACAACAACAAAGGAAAATCGAATGAAACTGATTTTATTTGGATTAAAAGGAGGATTGTGTTTTCAAAGAAATGACAGAACAATTAACACCATAAATTAATGAAATTATAAAATACCGGAAGAATAGAGAACGAGCGAACTAATTCTTCTATTCAAAAAGTAGATAAAAATACAGAGGTATAAACTTGTTAACCCTTTCAGCCCCGGTGACTCGTACTCGCGTCCAAGCTACGTAAGTATTCAAACGAAATTATTTTTGCCGGCATAGGAGCTGAGGTTTGAAAAATTGAAGCAGATCTGAAAGGGTTAAATACTACGCTAAAACTTACAACCAAAAAGTGCTAAAAATCAGAGGATAAGTTTAGCAGATGAACAACAGAGTTTTGGTAGTGGACGATCGTGTACAAATGAAATATTCGTTTTGAAGCAAATTACTGAGAAATCACTAAAGTATAATATACCAGCATTTCTGTGTATGATTGACCTTAAGAAAGTGTTTGATAGAGTAAGACTCAAAGATGTGATCCATCTTCTATATAATAAAGAAGTTCCCCTAAATATAAAAACCATCGAAAACATCTACCAAAACAACAAAATGGAAGTCAAAATAGATGGACAACTGACAGAACCTGTAGAAATAGGCAGCGGAATTCATTGGGCAGACAAGGGGATTCATTGAGCCCCATGCTCTTCAATTTGAACATGGATGAAATCATCAAATGCATTATCCAAGGAAGAGGGTATAGAATGGGATTTTTCACCCAAGAATGTTACACAGAAAAAACAATTCAAAATTTTGAAAATCTGCAAAGAAACTAAAATTGTTTTTATACCTGTAAACATTTTTTATGGAAAACGATATTTAGTAGTGTATTACCTCCACGAGCCCTAATTACGGCTCTCATTCGATCAGGCATACTTCGGATTAAGGCAGCAAAGTCTGCTTGAGGTGTTTGCTCCAATCATTTATGGTTTCTAGTGGTCATTCCTAGAATGCCCCATGCATGCTCTATTGGATTTAAGTCTGCACTCCTTGGGGGCCATCGTAATAAACGAATTCCAACTCCATTCAAGTAATCCTGTGTTATTCTTGAGATGTGCGGGCGAGCATTATCTTGCATCAGACAAAACCTTTTTCCAACAAATGGAGCAAATGGCAATACATGATCTTCCAAACATTGTTGAATATACTGTTAAGCGTTCAAATTGCCCCCTTGAATTGTAACAAGTTCTGTATGAAGTTCTCTAGGGAAAGGCTTGCCCACACTATTATACCACCTCCAAATTAAAGTATCATATTTCAGTGGCCATTAAGTTAAATTATCGCCATATAATAGCGCTGAATTATGGGAGAGCACTTGTTCCATAGACCACCTAGAAACGACCAGAGGGGTTTTCTGGCCATCTCAAGACACTCCCTATTTAGACAGCGTACTGAAAGCATAGGGAATTTATCGGGACGTCCCTTCTTTTGTGCTTCGGATGGCGTCGCGACGGTACACGCTACATATCTACGATTTTTATACCAATATTTCAAAAGGTAAGTCTTCTATTCTTTGTACAGATAACAGTAACGAGTAAAGCCAGTTAATTATCGTAATTTATTCACAATTAATATTTACTGTTTTCGCTACAGTCAAAATATTGCATTATTCTTCATTCTATAAATTCATTTAACCAGCGACCTCAAAGTTTTACACAAAACATCCGTTTTATATTAAAAAAAAAATAAAGAGAAAACATCCTGCTCAGTTTAATTTTCTTCAGGTTTATCAGATTAAGAATAATACTAACATCATCCATTAAAAATCAAACTTTATTCAAATAAGTTTCTTAGCAATATAATCTTATGAATATCTATAAAATATATAATTTTCTTAATTGGTATAAACTTGTAAAACTTCATACATAATATGTATTTTAAAGTCTGGAAACGCTGTACAAAACTAAAGCTACTATGTGTTCGCAAGGTAGACCAAAAATTGTATATGTAATCATAAAGAAAAGTGAATAATACATAACTAAATAGCATAGACGAGTTTGACTTAATAAAACCATGAAACTCGTATTCAACAGAGATAGTGGCGATCACAGAGCAACACAATTCAATGGCGATCAAATTAGCACAACTGAGGTTGTTGTAAAAATAGTGTTATTTCAAGTGCGATCGCCTAAAAATTCGTAATGTATGGGTGATCCACCTGCAAAACACCTTAAGTTTGCGCAATTTTATTGCAAGTACATATATGGAGGTACAAAACTCGGTCTGGAGGATAGAAAAACTTGTATTAAACATGTTTAGATCGATTTAAATCGATTAACTAAACAATGAATTTGCGTTCAATAAAAACTTGAGTATGCGAAACTTTAGTCTACCTTGAAACAGTGATAAAAGTTATTTATAAAAGATTCATGCATAAAATGTAGTTAAATTTATTTTTAACATTTTGGCAAATTATTTTTTACCAAATAAAAATATAAGATTAAGCGGTTACAAGTTATCAAAAAACATTAAGTATCGATTTTTGTGGAATGTTTTTATTTGTGGTCATAAACTCATTGACCAAAAAGGATTCATTTTGGTCAATGGCATGGTCAATGGTTCATCAATGGCAACAGGCAACAGTAATAACGAGTCGACGAGAAAAATACAGGCAGCTATTATACTTTACAACTAAAAACCTGTCCACATATATTTTACAAATAAAAAGATGCAAGAAATCAACTTTACAGAAATCATGCACCAGGAAAAGTAGAAATTATATCTCTGATATTTCCAAAATTTTTTGGATGTTGTGTCTGTTATATATTTGTTTAGTGTTAGGTTAGTTATAGCTGGAGACGATTGATAACACGGGGATTATAACAATTGGCAGGACTGACAGTGTTAGTTTGGTTCAGAGGATAACTAAGCTAGTGCGTGAGCAAACATTGTATCCGACTATATACGATCTATTGAAAGTCAAATTTCCAGTAGTGTTTGACAATAATTTGTCTAACCCTATTAAGAAATTTAAAATTAATTTTAGTGTTAAAACAGATGCTATGCCTATTTTTAGAAAACCTATTTTCTTTTTCTTTCTAAGAATTTCTAAAGGAATTTCTTTCTAAAACTTCCAGATACTAGATCGTGTGACTTTATTTTTAGCACATTAAAAGGTTTAAACTTTTAGTCTTTAGATTTCATATTACACGGATTTAAGACAATTTGGAACTAAGCTCTTCAATTATGCAACAGTTAACAAAAGTAAACCACAATGTAAATTACTATGTAGACACAGGATTTTATATTTCATTTGAAAATGTGAGAATAAACGTGCCATCAAAAAATTGACACTGATTGTGTATTTATCAAGTAGGATCTCATAGAATATAATATAGCATTATGCAGTCAGTCAGTTCAACCAAATTATAAAGTAATTGCGGTATTTAAGGTTATGTTCGTAATGTGCGGTGGTTTTCTAAAAATTACCCCCGCCCTAAAAATCTTAGCAAGATCACTGGAGCAAAATCCCTCCTACACACTCCGTGTTATATAGTCAACCGTTGAAAATTTTCCTTCCATGACACGAAAAAACATAATTTTGATTCATTGGCTCAGAATGGGCCATATAAGACTAACTCATAAACATATCAACTTCTCAAGACTCGCATTCAACTGTAAAATGTTATTTTGAGAATGTTTTATAAAATGGAAATCAAAATGTTGAAGTTTTCAATTAAAATCGTACTTAATTCCCATGAAATTTAATAGATATCACAAAAATGCTACATGAAAAAAGTTTCAGAATCACGTTTAAACTCTTTTAGCTAAACACATACTTTGAGACTGTACTTATTTCAATAATGAGCGAAAAAAATAACATTTATATCAAAAAAGTATAACGATCTATGAGAACTTTTTTCGTGTGTTTGATGGCACTCAACGTGTTAAACTAAGCTTAACCGTAACGTTGTATATCAGATGTTGAACATTTGGTATAACAGTAACTGAAAAATTGAATACGACAAGAAATAGTGGAAAGACTCTAGAAGCTGTTGGAAATTACTAGAATATTCCAGACTAAATGGCTAGTGTATAAACAGACTGACATGGCATTAGGGAAGTTCAGATCACGTTGACGTTTTTGGTAAAAATTAAGTTGTAGTTGAGTTTTAGCCGGATAGAAGTTTTGATTTCACGGTGTTTTTGAATAAAAACATTCTTCATTTAGCGACATAGTGAGGACGCTTTGGTCTCCTTTCAAATACATCTGAATGGTATATATTCGAGCATAAAGTTGACGAAGGAGTTGAAGACCTAACTCTAGATATCCTGATTAAGAAAAATCAAGTCTAATGTTTCTTTTACTCTTCAAATCACTATTGCCGTCACAAATTTAATCAGTGATCAATAGTTTTTTCCACGAAAATCCAATAAGAGCTTCAATAGGTGCATCCACGGTCCTATAGAGGACAATTCAAGATCTTATAGAGGCCTAACTAATTGAAAAACTAAAAACAGAATCTGCGAACATTCAATGTCAGTCTGCAATTCCGATTTGGTTTCTACTCTAGCCTAGCATAATCTTAGCTATCTGTTTTTATAGATCAAGAAATATCCGAGAAGCCATTGAAATCGAAAATCGTATTAACTGTCTAAATCAAAGAGGTACTTTCCTTCAAACTACTGCTTGCTATCTTCAATACTGAAACCCTCCTCAAGTAGAATAAATCTCCCTCTGTTGCTTCCAACAATTCACTTCCTGAAGTCAATAAAATTCGAGCCAACCCCCACCTAAATACCATGTCAGCAAACCAAGTCACCATCAGCAGCAGTGAACGTGAACTGAATAGTAGGAAGTATATGCAGGAGTATTCGGAAGCCCGGATGAAGACTCCAGACAGGGTGACAAAAAGTGTGTGAAACACGTAATACTTGTAGATGAAGAAACAAAAATGTGAGCTTGTTCTAGTTGTGGCCGACTGTGACAATATATATCATATCTTTTAATTAATACTTAATAAATTTTGAGAACAATTCAATAATCGAAAGATTTTTAATATACAAACATTTGGCGAATTGATTATTTGATAGCCTCGGGTGGACAATCAGGTTGATTACTTGGATGCGCTGCACGGATAGCTGGGTGAGTTTCCAGCTCCCTATCAATTCTTAAAATAGTTGGATAAGGTCTTAAGTCTACGTGGAATCTTCTTGCATTAAAAACTTGAGGAATGAGGCAACAATCAGCTAGTGTTATTTCATCCCCGACGCAATATTTCCCAGCACTAGCAGCTAAAAGTTTTTCGACTGCTTTGAAACCACGTTTAATCCAATGCTTCGCCCATTCATCTTTCTTTTCTTCGCCAACGTGGATTAGAACTGTAAGATTTTGTAATGGCTGGATGCCCGATGCTATTACTTCGCATATTTCTCTGACCTAAAACAATGAATAGTAAATACTATAAAGCACAGTGAAGTTATGTTATAAAGGCAGAGCACTCACCAAACTGGCGTGGCACGTGGCAAGTAGCAAGTCGCACGCGTCTAGCATGTTACTTAAAATGTAGCCAATGAAAATTAATGATTCAGCGCACACCAAAATGACAGTGACGTCATTCGATCTAATCATTCGTTTGCATTGGTTACATTTTATGTAACATGCTAGACGCGTGCTACTTACTACTTGCCATTTGCCATGCCACTTCGGTGGGCGCTCTCGCTAAAGTTAAATATATAACTTATTAAAGTTTAAATAATAAACAGCATCAGTGCTTTTGGAATTCTGTTTGTCCTCCATGTTATAAGGGATTCTGTTCTTTTACTCAATTTTTTATATACTTCTGTTCTTTGCACTTTTTACATAAAAACTGACTTTTTTCTCTAGTTTTCTTATAAAAGGTATAAAAGTTAAAAATATCAACTTTGACAAATAATAGATCAAAGACCTAATTTAAAGAGTGTAGTAATATGTTTTTATACTTACTTTTGCTCTTTTGATACAGTCATTGGGCATTAACGGTCTATGGGGTCTGGTTTCTTCCAGATAATGCATAATATTTAAAGATTCTATAAGGGTGGTTCCGTCTATGTGCAAAGCTGGAACCTGTTCCATGGGATTGACATCTCGATAGTCGTTTGAATGCTGTTCCCCTCCAGCTTTTATCAATGAAACTGGTTTGATATCATAGGGGATTTCTTTTAAGTTCAGCGCTAAAAAAGTGCAAGGATTTATAAAATTCGATAAAAGTGAAATTATTTAAAATATGACTAATTTCTATTGTTAATATTTTGGACAATAACATTCTGTAATTTATGTAAATAGTATTTATTATTTATTTTAAATGTTTTATTACATACATACAGATTTTATAACCACTGATTTTTATCGCAATCAGAAGTATAGAAAAGCAATCAGAGGAATAATGGGAGATATAGCCATGAATGAGGATGAATGGACCCACCGAAAGAGGAGGTTCCGAAAGGAGTCCCGAGCACTATCCACATCAATGCTTAAACCCACATATTGACTACGATGTGTTGACGATACATTCCTCATTTGGCCCCATGGCAGGGATGCTTTGGTGTCTTCTCAAACCCACTTAAATGGTATACATCCTAGTATTCAGTTCACGATGGAGGTGCAAACTGATTCATCCCTACCATTTCTCGACGTTATCGTAAAGAAAAACCAATCCCAAGGTTTTCATCACTTTGTTTATCGAAAACCCACTCATACCAATCGTTACTTGCATGCCAACTCCATCATCCCCCTTCACAAATTAATTCAGTCATCACCATTGACAAAAAGAAAAAAGAGGGAATCTAATCATTATGAAAAGGAAACCAAAATTCATAAAAGTTGCCTCTTAATATGGCGGACATATCCGAAAATGCAAAGGCGCTAAATTTAAAATTTCCGATACTTATTAACAACAGCTATAAAATATTTTTCAGAATGTGTCTTAGACGAGAAAGTTTTAAAATAGTCTCACACCCTCATCATACGAAAGCTTTTCTTCCTTACATCAAATGTGTCACTGAAAAAATCAACAAAATACTAAAATCAATAGGAATAAGACAATATTTACCCCCCGACGAAAACAAAAACTTTCATCTCTTGTCCGATCAATCAAAGACAACATTCCAAATGAACAACGCAAAGTTTATGAAATTCCTTGAGCCGACTTTCCTCGATCCTATATAGGCCAAACAAATCATAGATTTCAAAATAGGATTTATGAACATCGCATTTCTGTTTGCAATTCCGATTCAATTTTAGCTCTAGTCAACACCATCTTCATACAGGTCACAAAATTGATTTTGAAAACTCCAGAACCATAAGCCCATCCGCTCTATAAACCAAGAATTATCCGAGAAGCCATAGAAATTGAAAAAAGGCTAAATTGTCTCAATAAAAGAGATGACGGCATTCGGTTACCTTCGACTTGGAGACCTCTCCTAAAGAAATACCGTCGATGATGATGATGATGACTGACACTGTATAATAGAAAATAATTTTAAATTATAGACGTCTGTGGTATAAATCAGCTTCGTTATAAACATTTTTTATATTGGTACTCCATAATTTAGCCACAACAAAAGAAAGCCAGTTGACGCACCGTGTGTTTATATATAATCCTGTCTCCATACTAGATCTTTTATTTTTGATATCTTGGTATTCGTCATTTTCCCCAATTTTTATACCTATTATAACAAATGTTAGGATACAAATGCAACAATAGTTAATTTTATCAGAGAAATGATTTCCTAACGAAGGTACGTATTTTGTAAGGTCATCAGTTTGAGATAAATTCTCTCATAATAAATTATTTCAAAACCTTAAGATTTCATAATCTCAACAATGACCGTAAGAGAAATAAAAATACATGATATTTATAACTACACGAACAAATGATAAGATGAATGAAACATCGAGTTAAGCTTTACCTTATAGCCACATATATACAGGAGCTATCGATTTTTTGAGCAATTTTACTTACTAATAAAGTTCGAAATAGACTTAGGCACTATTATGTACATACATAGATATTAGCACAGGTCAGTTAGGTGATTTGTGGATAATAATAAATAAAAAACACAGAAAGATAGAAAAAAGGAAATGGAAACATTAAATTGACTAAGAGGTATATAACACTAGCAGTAGAACAACAAGGTTTTAGGTCGGGAAAATCATGCACCGACGCTATATTTATAATGAGACAAGTGCAAGAGAAAACATTAGAATACAACAAACCGGCATATATATGTTTCGTGAACCTTAAGAAGGCAACGGGAAACTCGGAAGGAAAAAAGACGAACAAGAAGTGGCAATCGGAGATTTTGGAATCGGAGTAAGAAACGAAAGAGGCGAAATGCTTACCAACTTTCTACTGCAACACAAACTGTATGCAATGAACACCTTTTTTAAGAAGAAACAGAATAGAAAATGGACGTGGGCTAGTCCAGACGGAAGAACTAAGAGCGAATATGATTATATAATAACAGACAAAAAGCAAATTATTCAAGATGTCCTGTACTCAATAAACTATCAGTAGGAAGCGACCACACACCAGTAAGAGCTAAAGTAACGATCAATCTACAAAAAGAAAGAGCAAAGATGATAAACAGTTGTAAACGCATAGTTTGGAATTCACCAAATCATCCAGAAGCATACATAAGAAATATAGCCGAAACTTTACAGAGTAATAATCCCAAACCTCTAAGTATCGACGATCACAATAAATTAATAACAGACTCAGTTAGAAACGCACAACTCAAATTTTGCAAGAAAAATGACACCAAAAGTGAAAAGATTAGCAAAGATACAAGGGCTCTCATGGAAATACGACGAAACCTAAGTGAGAACGAAAAGAGAAACAAAGAAGAATATAAAAAACTAAATAAAAGAATTTCAGCGGAAATTAGAAAAGATGTGAGAAGATATAATACTAATGTAATTACTCAAACAGTAGAAGAGAACAAAGGTTTAAAGATAATAAAAAGAAAACTTACGCAAAGTAAAAAAGAAATATACAAGCTGAGAGATAAAGACGGAAAGGCAACAACAGATAAACAAAACATTCTGAAAATAACTAGAGAATTTTATAAAGACCTCTATACCAGCCAAAGACCACAAGACAATTTCCCGACACGAGTAAAGACTCTCATAAATCAGGGATCGGAAATACTTTTACCCATTAAGTACTGTGTCAGAAGTAAGAGCAGCTTTAAAGGAAATGAAGAACCATCGATCGCCTGGTGATGATGGACTCGTTCTCGAGGCAATAAAAGCAGGTGGAGAAATTTTATTAAAATCAGTAAGCGAACTGTTTACTAAATGCTTACATGCGGGTACGATTCCAAAAGACTGGAACAATGCAGTAATAGTCTTGTTACACAAAAAAGGCGATATTACTAAATTAGAAAATTATAGACCCATCAGCCTCTTGACACATATGTACAAACTCTTTATGAAAATCTTAACAAAGAGGCTAACACCTAAACTTGATTTCTATCAGCCCAAAGAACAGGCAGGCTTCAGGGCAGGATATGGCACAAATGACCATTTGCATACCATAAAGATCTTAATAGAAAAGTGCATCGAGTACAACATACCACTGGTTCTTGCATTTGTCGATTACGAGAAGGCTTTTGATTCTGTAGAGTTTGAAACAATACTGGAAGCCCTAAATCAAAGCCGAATAGATTACAGGTACACGACACTAATCAAAAACATCTATCAGAACGCTACATCAAGTATACAACTGCACGAAGACACAGAAAAATTCAGCTTAGGTCGAGGAGTTAGACAAGGAGACAATATTTCACCAAAATTGTTCACGGCAGCTCTAGAGTCAATATTTAAGGGTACTCAATGGCAAGATATGGGCATCAATATAGATGGAGAAAGATTAAATCACCTAAGGTTTGCAGATGATGTTGTATTAATCGCAGATAACTTACATGATACAGTTTCTATGATGCATTCGCTTAAAAGTCTGTCTGAAAGAGCAGGATTAAAGATAAACTTTGAGAAAACTAAAATTATAACAAATCTCGTAATGAGTGGAAATATAACTATTGACAATAATACCATACAACAAACAGACACTTACAAATATCTCGGACACGAAATCAAAATAAGCAGAGACAATCAAACACATGAAATACAGAGTCGAATAGGTCTAACATGGGCAGCATTTGGCAAATTAAGCCATATTCTAAAAAGTTCAATTCCCAGTTTACCAATTCCAACAATTAAAAAATAAAAATTTACATGTCCCAGCGTGCACTACTAGCGTGCGTTACTACTTAAATAAATTAATAGTACTAGACCTTTCCGTCACTAAATTTAAATTTAAATGAATAAAGACTTAAATATAGTCTCAGATTCATATATCTATGATTACAAGCTTAAAACTGATTATGTCCTACTTGTAATAAGAAGTAAATTGTATGAATATTTTACAAATAAAAAAAAGTTACCTATCCGAACTCTCCAAGCACATGAACTTCTCCAATAGGAATAAAGAATAGGCTGAAAATAAAACTTCTACTTAGTATCATTATATACATTATGATTCTAATCAATTTTTCACATTGATTCATTCAGCATTTTTTTGTTCAACGTTTCTATTGACTATGTTACCCAGTAACATTGGGTAAAATAGGTCATTCCATTGACCTATGTTACCCAGTAAAAGTGTGTTTTATTGTTAATGATAGAACTTTAACTTCTGTTATCTCATGATTAAAATTATAAATTTATTAATTAAAAAAAAATACTGGAACTATTTACGTATATTTGTGCATTAGATACGCAGAAAAGTAGACCTACAAAGGCGTTTTAATTAAAAATTTTCCGTGCAAAAACGTATCATGTTAAAAAAATCATTAATTTAATTAAAATTGGCACAAAATTCATGATTTTTTACAATTGACGTTAATAGGGTTTATATATAATTAATATTGACTTCAATTTGCAAAAAATAAATATTCTATTAGGTATTAACTTAACTCCAAATAAAGTACCATAAAATTTTCTTTTGCAGCTCCTGTAAAATTAACTATTTTTGATTTACAACAGTTTTGTTCCGCATGTGCGTATACAAAATATTCAGTTATATAATTATAATTTTGATCGCTGAGAATCTGTGAGAAAACGACTACATTTGGACGTGGAAGATGGCATTTTGATTTTTGCAGAAAAAGTTTTGTGATAACTTTAGTAATAATAATGACATCCTCTCTCTCAAATAGGTCGGGAACATTAACAAAAAAATTAAAAATTAATAAAAACATCGATTTTTCTACTTTCTTTGCTAATAACTAAAAAAATGCCAAAAAAGAAATGAAGAAAATTCAATTTCAAAGTTCAAAATGGCTCCGTTTTATTTATTTAATTTTAAACCGATCTAACTCCAATAGAGGCAGCTAAAAAACGTATTACCAAATCCCAAAGATGCTTTAGTTTTGTGATAAATAAATAAATTTATTGATACTCCGGTTGTCAGGAACGAAAGTGCCATTAAACCTCTAATCGTAAGACCAAGCTGAATTTTGCTGAGAATGTTAATTTTGGAACCTCAAAAAAATGCAAAAAGTATAGTACTCCTACTCCCGGATCCCCCCTAAAACCAAACCCTCGTAGGGGAAAAACAGAAAATAGTATATTACTTTATGAGGCGGAGAAGCATGACTTTTCTTGACGCGACCGATATTACGCGCCGAACGAAGTGAGGCGCGTAATAGAGGGCAAGTCAAGAAAAGTCGCTTCTTTGCCGAATAAAGTATACTATTTTTTCTTCAAACGTAGCAATTTTCAACCATAAATAGTACAATTCATACGCTATTTTTACTCGAAATTAACTGTGACAACTATCAAAGTCGCCTAGATGTTAGAAATTAAAATAATTAAGTCGTCGGTGGAATTTGCGTCTCCCTGGTTACAGTTGTTTGACAGTTGTTTGCAATTATTAAAGACAGCTTATTGTTGTTGCAACCGCAAGCGCAAATTTAGTGCGAAAATGGAAAACCTAAACGAAATTGAGTCCGCGGCTAATGATGCAGTAGCACGTTTGGGGCCCTCCAAGTCCGGAATAAAGTATCGGTTAGCGTACAAGCACTTCCAAGAGTGGTGCGATACAAGAGGAGTACGGCAAGTTACCGAAGACGTTTTACTGGCATATTTATAATATATGGTAAAGTTAAGTGCCTTTCTGAAAAAAAAACAAGCGAAAGATATACTGCAAAGAAGTCTAAAGTTTTCACTAAAAACGAGTTTGATAAATTTTTGTTTGAAGCGCCAGATAAGTTGTATTTAGGATTAAAGGTAAAAAAATTATATTGCAAAGCATGTAGTATACTCTACTAAATTATAAAAATATTTCAGATTGTTTTGTTAATTGGGGTTACTGGCGCCTGTCGATGCGACGAAATGGTAAAAATGAAGACTGTGGACATTGAGGATAAAGAAAATGTAATAATTATCAAAATCCCAGACAGTAAAACACGACAAATTAGATCTTTTACGATAATTTTTCAAAACTACATTAAACTGTATAAAAATTAATGCATCACTGCGGCCTGAAAATTTCACAGAAAACCGATTTTTTATCAAGTACAAAAATGGAAAGTGTTACCGAAGCGTCATGGGAATACATTCGATCAGCGCAGTAGCCAAAAAAATAGCTAGTTATTTAAATTTAAACGATGCAAGCGCATATACGGGTCACTGTTTACGACGAACTTCAGCAACACTTTTAATTGATGGAGGCGGAAATCTAGAATGCCTCAAACGACATGGGGGCTGGAAATCAAGCATGGTTGCCGAAGGATATATAGAGGATTCAATAAGAAATAAGAACGATAATGCTCAAAAAATTTTAAACCCTCATGATTCGCCAACATCGGGAATGATTGCTGAAAGTTGTTCTCGACCATCAGTATCATCAACAATTACCAATGCGTATCAAGAGTCGGGAACATTTTTGCACGGTTTCAATTTTGAAAATGCCTCATTAACTAATTGTACTTTTAATATTACTATAAATAAAAATTATGTTTAATTGTTGTTAATGACATTTGTATTGTTGCTTTGTGACATGTTTCATATTGTTGCCATGACAACATTTTTCCATCCGCCGTAAAGAAATGAAAAAAAAACTGCTGCCGGCGGAGACATAAAACTTTGACAGGATCAAGTTAGATAAGTAATGTCATCATTATTTGACGTTTGAAGAAAAATCAATTTACCTAGAATCTGTACTTCGCGTTGTAGAAAAAAATATTTCAAATCAGAGCTCAGATAATTTTGAACAAATGTTTATTAGCACTTTTTGTGTAAAATAAACCGTCCTCTCAAAAATAACCCTTGAAGCGACCGGCCGTTTTGAATGTCAGCTATGCGTGACATCAATTTTAAATAGAATTTGTATCAATTCGACGGTAAAAATTCGATATCTTTTGTTCAGAGTGACCTATCGGCAAAAATTAAAAAGCGTTTTTTATTAAATTAAATCTATTAAATAAAGTCATTTTCTATAAAAGTGAATTTTTTACGATTCTGATGAGGTCGAGGTCGTTAAAATTTATTACTTTTCCATTAACCTGCCACTATAGAATTTTCATTGTTAAAGCCCAATCTTCAAAAACTGTGGCATGAAATGTGATTTTTGATTTTTGTCAACAAATGTTATTGTCAAATTACAAACTATTGCACGTCACGGAAATTCCATAGAGGTAGGTTAATGGAAAACGGATATGAAATGCAAATTGCACAATAAAGCTGCACTCTTCATCTTAAAAACGCTTTTTGATTTTTGCCGATGTCACTCTGATCTAAAGATATCGAATTCTTACCGTCGAATTGGAACATAACTTTTAATATTGTTAAGAAAAATAAAATTTCATTATGTTTTGCAATTACCTAAACGTATTTATTTATCATTCAAAAACATCTTGTCATTCTCATCCAATCGTAGAAAAACATAGTTTTCAATTCGCATATAATTTTCAGCTCCCACTCGTATGAAAAGCTGCACTCGCCTGCTGCTTGTGCTACACATTTTCATACAATATTCTAATAATAAAGAACTTAATTAATTTCTTAACAATAACCATTAATCAATGGCTTAGCGAACAGGGCTTGACATTAGTCTTTTTGACCCCATGAGATTTTTGTTTTTAAATTCAAATTTTTAATTCTTCATACTTTTTATATAAAAAATATTAAAATTTAACGTACCTAGTATAAAAATACATAATGAGACTAAGACATTACGTTCCTCTACCTCTACATGATCGTCGACAATATAGAGAAATATATAATTGCTACATACAAAGGATATTTGCGACTATAAAAATAAAAGGGCAGGATATAATATTTTCACAATCACTGACCTCCGATAAGGTATCGCAGTACAGAGCCAAATTTTTAATTTTTTTCATTACAAAGCGATGACTTTTTCAAACACAGCCTTTACTAATGCTGGTTGTTACTAAAATGATAAATACGGAAAATTTAATAACCACAATTTTCCGTAATATTCAACATCTTAAAAAAAATAGAATAATTCGCAAAAGTAAATGTGTATTTTATTCATTATGATAAATTATATTTAATTTTATTGTATATAAAAACATCCAGGTATAATACCAGTGTATGTTAGGCTATAAAAATCTTAATTCAAGTGCTAATGAATAATTAAAAAAAAAACAATATAATAATATAGAAAACAAGACATAATGGAATATTTTAATGAACGTACCTTGATTAACACAGACGCCATGGTTCACTATTTATTTATGAAATCATTTAAAATAATAATTATATTATCACTTTATGTATTTATAAAGAATAAATAAGAAAATTCAAAATAAAAATAGGAGATAACCTCAATAAACCACTTCGCCTGGTTCGACGCAACACTACTAACAGAGTAACAGATCTGCGGTGGGTTTGCAACTGCGGGTAGTCTATATTTGCAAATACGTATTCTTTCATCATTTCGCTTTATGCTAAATATACAAGTTCTCCTCTTTTGTATTGTTAAAAGAAACGGGTTCCTTTTCAATTCCAACCGTTCAGGTGTTTTTTGCACTGTACTGGTCACTTGTGATTATTTCATGCAAATAAATTTCGTACACACGTGTTTCTATTGATTTTTTGTACGAGGGTGATAAGAATATTATTAAAATAATGTTTTAGGTGATTTTTTCGCCTATTTAAATTAGTCTAGCCTGATCTTTTTATACTTGTGCTTTACGTATTTTTTTCAATTCAATGAGTAATAAGTTATTTCACTGAGAAGTCCGAACATGACTCTGACGAAGATTTCCAGTTATCAATTAGCAAATTGTTATTCCAACCAAATTGTACACAAAGATGAAGAATGTTTGGATTCCGAGTCGGATTGCGATGAAGCAGATTGCATTCAGGAGCCTCTAGAAGCTTATGACTCAGACGAAGAAACCAATATCGCCTATTTCGAGCCATCAATTAGCAGTACTCCAAGTTTTATTTAATTTTTTACATCCAATTCTCGTGAAAAAGCAATCGACAATCTTGTTTAATCAGTATATTCGAATAGCACGCTAATCTTTTTCGGTACTCCTTAAAGTACGACCAGTTTTAACTGTTGTTTCAACATTGCCCATTTTTTTTAAATTGTGAAATTATATTTCTCACAGTTCCTTGAGAAATATTTAAATTTTGAACAATTTTGTGTCCAGAAAGTCCTTTTTATGACCCGCAACAACGGAATTTCGTAAATCATTAGATAATCACTTTCTGCGAATCATTTTGACAAGCAACTAAATCAACTTCAAACTAAGTAACTTCATAAATTATTCCTTCAACACGCACTTGAAAATATAATTTCCAGAAAAAATTATACAAGAGATTTTATTGGATAAATAAATATTGATCACTGATCGGTTGATGATCCAAATAATTTGCGCCAGACATTACTTTTCCTTTTTTTATTTTATAATAATTATTGTAGTTACTTTAAAAGATTGTAATATGTTGATTAATTGGCAAAATCACAAAGTATCAAATAAGCTTAATCGAAACCGTTAAATTTGTAATAAATAGTAAGATAAATTCAGAAAAATAAAATTATTCATAATACGCGACTGAGCTCCTTCATAATTTTATCAGATTTTATATTTTTTAATGGTAACTCCGCCATGTTTATAAGAATCGTTTTTGATGTCCGTCCCTGTAGCGCAGCGGATAGCGCGTTGGACTTCTAATCCAAAGGTCGTGGGTTCGATCCCCACCAGGGATGAAAAGGTGGTAAACTTTTTGGTTTAAAATTTGGTTTTTATGAGCTTATAAAATTAATGATTTTATTTATTAATCCTTTAATAAATAAATTATTGATTCTTATGGTTAATAGTCTTAATGTGGTTTATTTAAAAATGGTATTATTAAAAAAATGAAAGGAATTAGAAAAGAAAAGTTAAAATGTAGGAATTCTATTCAAAAAGGAAATGTAGACGTTATGCATAAAGTCTGTTTAAGTGTAGAATAAGCTCAATATTTTCTAAAATATAAATATTTTCAAGAAAAAGTGAAATATGGCAATTTCTAATTTTAATTCTATACAATTCACAAAAAATTATTGTACATGATGATACACTAATGTAATACCGTCATCGTAATTATTTTAAATAATACACCACCATGTAAGTATTTGAAGTAATCTTTTTATCATTATATATATATATATATATATATATATATATATATATATATATATATATATATATATATATAATATATAACAAGAAATACTGGATATTATTGACTGTCGATATAAACAAACAACACAGTTTATTAGGGTTGCAGTCAGAATATTGGCCGGGATGTTAAAAAAACACTCTTTTGACTTTTTGTCGAGCTTTCGGAATATTTTTATTCCTTTTTCAAGACACTGTAAAAGACAATTATGTAAGTATTTAAAAATAATATCACCATTCTTCAGTGTAACTTACTAGTCGTTGAGATTATTTTTGTAAGCATTGAACACTCAACATTAATACCACACATTAAAATATACAATTATGGACATAATACATCATAAAATTTTTAAAAATTTGTTGTTAAAAATAGTAAAACTTGATTGATGGCATGTTTTACTGGTGTATATTAACTCATACAGAGAATGGAAAGAAAAAACAGTGTAATTAATATGTAATTAGGTGTAAATTGATGTTATCTTTCTTTACAAGCATTACTAGAGGCCTTTCTTAGGTGTCTATAATTTTTAACCTGTCTTAATGGTATGCAACATATTATACAGATGTGTAATTTTTTCTACAGGTAAATATTTATTTTATTTTTATTTTTGGTGTTTTTCTAGTAAATAACAATAAATGTTACTTAATTTGTCTATATCGGACTTTTATTGATACAAGATGTGCTAGATTTTATGAAACACATTTCCAAGAAACACGTTTTAAATGGTTCTTTTCTTTTGCCAAAATACAGGAATCATCGAACTTGAACTCATGTTTTAGACTTAGTGCATGTTCTGTCAATGCACATGCATTGATTTTTTTGGTTTTTATGTCACTGCGATGTGATATCACCCTGCTGTGAAAATTACGAGATGATTCTCCTATGTAAATTTTATTGCAGTTTACTACACGGTATAGAATAAACAACATTCGATGACTCCTGTATTGTGAAAGGATCTTTTGTCTTTGTGTAAAGCTTCGATACTGTTTTCACATTTTTGGTTGTAATTTTTAAGCCACTAACATTTTTAAAAGATGTTCATTAGCTTAGGTGTCAAAAATGGAATATAGGTAGGCAACCATAAGTTATTTTAGATGGTAATATTGCTGCGTTATGTGTCAATGTCAATTGTCGGATCTCATTGTTATGAAAATTTTGGTTGACAGAAACTTGTGAAGGAAAAGGAGAACCAAAAATGAGTTCATTTCAGTGATTGATGAAATCATGAAATTCTCTACTTCATTATTTTCACTTTCTTCCACTTGTACCTCTCTTACTAACCTACCATGATAACACACTTTATCAAAATGCCCATATTTACCACACTTTCTACACTTTTTTCCATATGCTGGGCACCTCCTTGGTCCATGGACACTCCCACAGTTTCTGCAGTAAATTCACCTCTAGAAGAACTTGCACCCCTGACTGTTTGGACTGAATTATGCCCCTGCTTGACTTTACTTCCAATTGATTCAATTTTCACCTTCTCTAAGCTTTTCTGAACTTCTTTTATTTGAGCTTGGGATACTTCATGCATTTTACATATTTCAATGGCTTTAGTCAGATCTAAATTAATTGTTTTTAACATGCTTTGTTGTGCATCCTTACTATTGGTGCCTAATACTATTCTATCTCTTACCATTGAAAATGCTTCAACACCAAACACAAATTTCTTACTTTTATTTTTTAAATTTGTTAAAAAGTGGTCAAAAGGCTCTCCTTCTTCTTGGCTGCGCTTATAAAACAAATATCTTTCATAAACCACGTTTTTCTAGGAGTAACATAAGACTCAAATGCTTCCAATACATCTGCTAGCTTTCCTTGTTGGACCTCTGTTAATTCCAAACTGTTATAAATCTCAATGCCTTCTTCTCCAATTAAATTGAGTAAAATTGCTACTTTAACTTCATCACTTTTACCACTTTTTTCCTGATGCCATCAGATATATTTCAAAACTTTGCTTAAATCTTTTAAAATTTTCGGCCACATTGCCTTCAAATGATAATGGATTTGGTAACCTTGCTTCCATGATTTTCGATTAATTTCCACTAGACTGCGCCAAGTAATAATATTTCATTGTGGTTAATACATTTATTTAAACATACTTATTAACAAAGTCTCTAGGAATCAACAATGTCCAAAAACCTATATCTAACAATCGTGTTGACAAGTCCTGACAACTGACAACGAGTCTCCCTACATTGTGCCTAGAGCCCTGTGACCGTAATCATAACCTACTGATATGACACAATGCTTACAAAAATAATCTCAACGACTAGTAAGTTACACTGAAGAATGGTGATATTATTTTTAAATACTTACATAATTGTCTTTTACAGTGTCTTGAAAAAGGAATAAAAATATTCCGAAAGCTCGACAAAAAGTCAAAAGAGTGTTTTTTTAACATCCCGGCCAATAATTCTGACTGCAACCCTAATAAACTGTGTTGTTTGTATATATATATATATATATATATATATATATATATATATATATATATATAAATATATATATATATATATATATATATATATATATTATATACAGTGTAGGAAAAATTTTATGGTCGGTATGGACCTTACGTGAGATGGAGTGAGAAACAGCTGTTTAAAAAGAGAGAGGTATATTAGGTACGCCCTTTATATCGCCGAATGGAAATATTAAAAAAGGGGAAATTCAACGTTGCCAAACTTATTGGATTTATTTCACCTGTTGTTTTTTTTTGCATTTGAACAATGTTCTAAGATAATCCAATTTGGCGAAATTGATTTAAATGGCAGCTTACTCTTTTTTTTTATTGGGAATATGCCACAAGTTTACTTTACAATAAGTGTAATATAAGATTTTGATTTCCACTTTGGAAATCGTTTTATATACCTAAATAAAATTTATTAATGTTTCGTATTTTAAGTACGATTTCCGAATTAAAAATCTAAACATCAAAATAAGCTTATTTTAAAGTCACATTGTGCCTTATTCAAAATATGAAATAATAAACTGCATACAATAACACCACATTAAAAAATATTCATACACAATAATTTATTTGGCAACGTCG